AGCCTGGTCTACAACGTGAGTTCCAGGACAGACTCCAAGGCTACAGAGAAACCCTGTCTCAAGAGAAAGGAAGAAAAAAAAAGCCCATTTCACAGATGATGAAATGGAGCCCCTGAGAAATCCAGCGGCTTTCCAAGGATTACACAGATCACAGAACAGACACGCTGTGCCCATTTTTGCTTTGTTGCAGCGTCGTTAAACACTTCCCAAACTGAGGAGGGGACCCTGGGAAGAGCCCTTTGGCTGCCGGGGCTCCTCTGGACTCTGAGCTTGGAGGGCCAGAGCTAAGGAGGCCATTGGCCCAGGAAGATATGGCAGGGACAGAAACAGGCTTGAGGCCTGTTTTTCCTGGCCTGTTCCTTTGCAGGCAGGTGGCAGTAACTCACGTCACATCATCCCATTGGCACCCGTGAGGCGGCTGCCCGCACACTGAGGGGTGACATGCACAACTGAGCTATACTCAGGGTGGGCACGGGACCCTGCGGGCACGGGACCCTGCCTGTTTCCTGCAGCCACCACCTAGTCCTCCTTTTCCTCTGGGCAGTGGGTTATGGGTTCTGCCATGCCGGTGGTGCAGCTGTGGCTAGGAGGGATGTTGTAGGGAGGGCCCTGTAGGTCAGGCTAGCCCTGTGCCCACAGGTGGTGAGCTTCAGTAGCCTGCGGGCTGACGCCTCGGCGCCCTGGATGGTACTGTGTGTCCTGTGGTGCTCAGTGGCCCAGGCCTTGCTGCTCCCTGTCTTCCTCTGGACCTGTGACCGCTACCGGGCAGATCTCAAGGCAGTCTGGGAGAAGTGCATGGCCCTGATGTCCAATGATGAGGACTCTGACAATGGTAAGGACAGCCTCGGGGTGGCCTTTGGGGAGGGCGGCGCTTGGGTGAGATCACTGGGTATCAGATGAAATAGTCATTTGGTATATCCCCACCGCATGGCACTTAGGTGACCATGTTCACCACCACCAGATATTCCTGTAGTGATAGTCTGTGTACCAGGAGCTGTCAGCCTGTGGGGGGTGTTTAGTCCCGTGGAGTTCCCACCCCAAATCTCAGAGGAGCAAAGAAGCACAATATGGCAGCCTTCAGCCTCACAGCTGAAGTGTTCTGTATCTGGGATTTGAACTCTGAACCTTGCCTGCCCTTTCTGCAAACAAGTCCCTTCCTTATGGGGATCCCTAAAAACCTTCCTGTTGCTCCCACGTTGTCATGGTGCCATGCTTCCGTCCTGTCCTGCAGAGACCAGCTTAGATGGCAGCATCTCCCCGGACCTAGTATTGGAGCGCTCCCTTGACTACAGCTACGGAGGTGACTTCGTGGCTTTGGACAGGATGGCCAAGTATGAGCTCTCTGCCTTGGAGGGAGGCTTACCCCAGCTCTACCCTCTGCGGCCCCTGCAGGAGGATCGGATGCAGTATCTGCAGGTAAGGTTGAGGCAGAACAGAGGGGCCTCAAAAGTCTCTCTTTCTCTCCCTCTGTCTCACTTGCTCGCTCTTGCTCTTGTTCTCTCTCCCTCTCTCGCTTGCATGCACGCACGCAGAGATCAGTGGCAGTGGATGGCTGTCAGCCTTTGGTTTTTACCTCGAGGTCACAGTCTGTGCGGGTGGGCCCATCCCCGTGCCCTGGAAGAGGTATCCATTGGTGTCTGTGAACCCTCCCATGAGACTTTCCAACTGACCCAAGCTCAGTCAACACCGAGTTTCAGAGAGGTTGTCACATGCCCCAAATCTCAAAGCACCGATCCAGGGGGTCCTAGTCCCTGACCCACACACTGCTCTGCAGGGCGCGGGGAGGCATCAGAGCGGGTTTCCAGGAGGGCACCCCCGTTTCAGCCCGGCCGGGTGCTCGCAGGTCCCACCCACACGGCGGTTCTCCCACGATGACGCCGACGTATGGGCCGCCGTCCCGCTGCCCACTTTCTTGCCGCGCTGGAGCTCCGGCGAGGACCTGGCAGCCCTGGCACACCTAATGCTGCCCGCGGGGCCCGACCGGCGGCGCGGGAGCCTGCTGGCTTTCCCTGAGGACGCACCCCCATTCCGCCCGCGCCGTCGTTCGGCCGAGAGCCTGCTGTCCCTGCAGCCCTCGTCCGTGGATGGTGGCCTGCGTCGCACCCACGACTCGCCTCCGGGCAGCCCGCGTCGCCGCCCCGGGCCCAGCGCCCGCTCCGCCTCGGTCTCGCTGCTGCCCGATGCCTTAGTGCTGACGGCCTTCGAGCTCGAGCCCCAGGCCCTGCGTCATCTACCCGCCCCAGCGCGGCCCTTCCCGGCCGCCTCCTACTGCACAGGGCCTTGTGAGGTCCCGACGCCTCCTGGCGGCCGTGCGCAACGCAGCCATGGACGCAGGGCCACGCGCGCGCATGCGGGGCCCCTGCAGACCGGCCTGAGCGCGTCGTGGGGCGAGCCCGGAGGCTTGCACGTGGTGGGCGGTGGCAGCACCAGCAGCTTTCTGAGCTCGCCTTCCGAGTCCTCGGGCTACGTCACGCTGCACTCGGACTCACTGGGCTCTGCGTCCTAGGGCCCTCACGGGCCTCTCCAGAGACGCCATACAGATGGGAGAGGCGCTGCACCAAAGATGCCACCGCATGTGTTAGGAGCGCGGACAAGTGCCACCCACCCTAGGGGTGATTGGATGGTTGTCTCTGCGCCCCTCGTGTGGTTCCTTCCTTCTGATATCGCCTGGAGGAATGATGGCCGCCCTTGATGGCTGCATAGGACATAGACCTGCTGCTGAGCACAGCACCTCCCAGGAATGGACAGACTGTGCCTTTGAAGTGAGTGGCATCTGCACACTTGGTACACCTCCCCCAGCCCTCTGAGGCTAGACTGGGTATATAGGGGACTCTGAGACCCGTCCACCATGAGAAAGGACAAAGTCTGTTCTCGGAGAAGCTTAAGCCAGAAGCTACAGGACGACATTCATCTTTACTGGCCCTGCATCTGCCTCCCCTCAAGGGTATGGCCTGTAGAGCTTCTATGAGCACAGGGGTCTTCAGAACCCAAACAAGTTCTACTGAGCAGGCTTCCCCGTGACCTGCCTCAGTTTCCCTTCTCTGATGAGTGGATGACCATGATACATCTCTCAGGGCTGTTTGAAGAATAATCCTGGTCTATGTCCCCTCCTACTTGAATGGACCAGATGCGAGAGGTAGTCTAGGGCCTTTTGTGAGGGTTAGCCTTCAGCACATGACCCCCTGGATCTGAGGCCTCCCCGTCTCAATGACCCTGCCCTCTTGGAAACTCACCTTAGCTAAAGCACAACACCATGGGTATAACAGCCACCTTGGCCCCCATTAGTGTCCCCGTGCTCAAGACTCCACCGTATTGCCTGTCTCCCACTGTGCCGGCCACTCCCACTATCCCGGCCACTCCCACTATGCCGGCCACTCCCACTATGCCTGCCACTTCTGTATCCTGCCGTCAAGGCTGTGGGTACCCGGTGCAGAGAGCTGAAGCGATGGAAGTGGGCTTCCCTGTCTTGGTGCCCATCTCCAGCTTTGCCTCCCACCCACGCAGGCAAAGGCCCCACACAGGGTGTCCTCTACCCCTCCTCAGCCACAAAGAAGGGCTTTGCTCTTCTGGGTAGACCTCTCTCCAGGCTGTGCCAGGGACATAGGTCTTCCCTGGAAATACCCAGGCTGTGAGCTGGGATTGGGGTAGCACTGCCATGTCAGGTCTGGAGATGGTCTTAAGGCCATCACAGAGCAGCCTGTGCCCCCTTTTTCACTGCCCAATGGCCAGGTCTATCTCCTCTCCCTCTCCAGGCAGAGTTCCAACTCCAGCTGGGGATGGGGGTGGGTGACTGCCCTATCCTAGGCCTCAGAGGTCCCTGTAGTCCCTGGGTATGGGGTCAGCGAAAGATAAGCCACCCCAAATGAGCAGAGCAGGAGACTGCAGTCTGTCCATCTCTGCACGTGGGAGAAGCTTCCTCTGGCCCATTTGCTGCTGTGCCTTTAGGGACTGATGTCATGTGGGTAGGGGCAGAGGCCACCAGCTAGCCGCTGTCTGCCTCACCGGCCTCAAATCATCAATTTATCACCTTCAGTTTTCACTCTGTTTTGTATTCAATGGCAATACTTGTAACGGGGACATGGTCCCCCCCAAGTCTCTTCTACTTTTTACAAAACTTTAAGGGCAAACCCCAAGCAGCAGAACACCCTAGGCTCTAGGGCTCTTTCCCAGTCCTTGTTCAGCCTCCCTGTTTGCTGACGCCTGTAAGGACCTCGGCCACGGGTTACCGCTAAGAACGCTAACTGTATACCACCGTCCAGCCCCGAGTCAGGGATTCGTTTGTAGATTTTTGAAAAACAGCTTTTCTCTTCTGTACAGGACCCAATAAAAAAAATGTCCTCATGGTTTGCACACAGCCTTCTGAGGCTGGTTCACGGAAACCTGTCTTTGCAGCCCAAACCAGCTACTCCCCTGACGTCTGGACCGGTGTACCATTCCCTTGGACTTGTCATTTCTCCAAGCAGGTGCTGCAGTCCTAGCCAGAGAGACAGACCTGGGCCCACAACCCTAGGAAGCAGCGGGTGGGCCCCAAAGCCCACCAGTCAGAGAAAGGTCCTCTGACACGGGTGGTAACCTGACCTGTGCGTGGGGCCAGGGTTTGGTCGCCCCTGTGAAGTTGTCTCAGTACCTCTACGACTGGCTTGGACATCTCGCTCTCAGACTCTGGTGGAATTCACCGACCACTCCTTCCTGGTCCTCGCTGAGAGGCCGCCACCTAGCGGTAGAGGAGAGCAAAGTCTTCGCTTTTCTCCCACCAGCTTGGCTGACCAGAGGCCACCTTGAGATGGCCAGGGCTGGGCTCTGTACTGGTCCTTGCTCCAGAAAGCCCGCGGTGTGGGGATGGGTTAGTGTGGGAGAGCCAAGTTGCGGAGAATCCTGAGTAGACCAGAGCGTGTTTACCGGCAGGGCAAGAGCCGCCCCAAACTTGATATTACATGGTACACTCACGTCTCGGCCTCTGTACAAACAGCCAGTCTTTATTCAGAATTGCACGTGGGTACTAGGAGGTGCTGGACCCCAGGCTGGCCCACGACAGGAGCCTGGGAGAGAAAAGCTCTCCTCTGTAGTCGCAGCTCATGGTAACAGGTGCAAGAGCACTCCAAGAGCCTAGGGCTCAGAAGGCGCTATGTGGTCCCGGGCACCCGTCTTTTCAGAACATAAAATGCGCAGCTCTCGGAAGTGCGGAGCTTTGCACGGGCGGTGCCACGCAGCGATGGGTGGGACCTGGGATTGTGGCGAAGCAGCGACATTGGCGCACTCAATGCACCTTAGGGGCGGAGCCCCTGCTCTGCACCAGCACCCTGCGAAGGGAGGATCTTGGAGAGAGCGCCCACAGGGTGGGCCCCGTGCGGAGGCGGAGAAGGTCTTGGGTGGGGGTGGAATGGAATGGGAGACCCTCGCTGGAGGGGCGGGGCTCTGCGCGCTTTGTGCCCGTGGGAACGGAGCGCTCGAGGCCGGTTGAATGGACCAGGGCGGGGCAGCGATTCTCCTCGCTGTGAGGGGTCCGCTCTGCGCTGCTGGCAATCGCGACCTTCCCACCGTGACGCAGTCGTGGAGAGGGGGGTCAGGGGCGGAATGCCAGCCCCGGGTCCCTGGGAAAGGGGCACATTCCACACGTCCTCTCCTAGCTCCACTGGAGGTGGGAGGAGGGAGCTGATCTGGCTGGTGGGTGGGACCGGTGTGGGTGAATTCACATTGACCACATCCGCAAGTGGCTGCGTGGATTTTTCTGCAGCCCCACCAGGCCACCGATTGAAAGAGTTCCTGCAGTCACCATAGGGGCGCCCCAAATAGTTTCTGTGTCCCCAGACTAGACAGCGGGTGATGGGGCAGGGGAAGGGTCTTGAGTCTGAATCCTTGCCAGGAACTCACCAAGGACGCCACACCCCAAGCCCGGGTCTCGGGTTCTCGGTTTGGCAGTTTGACGCTGGTTGTGGTGCGGGAACGCCGGTAGAGGACTCGGGGAGACCTCTAGGGAGCGGGAACGGGGACAGCGAGGACTGGGAGTCACCTGCAGCGGAAGCAGGGGCCCAGAGGGCCGGGAGGCAGGGCCTGAGAATAGAGACCGCCTGCGGGCTGGCGCTGTCCATGGTGCTGCCTGCCCTGCGCTCGAGCACCAGGGGGCAGCGCAGGCCGCTGCCATCCTCTCCGTGCCGAAGCCGCTGGCTCACGCCGGGCAAGCAGCCTTGGAAGCCAGACGGGTGGTCGAGCCCACTGGGTACTGGCCAGAGTCCTGAAGAAAGGAAGGGAGGAGAGGAGGGAACAGAAGAGGCGTGGAGGATAAAAGGAAGGGGAGATGCTTAAGGACATCAAGGGAGAAGATGGTCTCCTGGGTGGGGCAGACTATGACCTATGCTCAAACTCAGGCTGCAAGGCTACAGACAGGCCAGACAGGCCTTAGCTGTCCTTCCCCACATCCACCCCAGCTAGGAGGTGGACCCTCCTCACCTACCTGTTCACCGGCTTTCTCCTTTGCCCATCCCCCATCCTACCCTTGTAGCTCAGACAGCTCTCCAGCTCTCCATCCTCCTGCCTCAGCGTCCCAAGTGCTGGGTTTACTGGCAAACGATGCCACGCCTAGCCCCAAGACCCCATGGCTAGCTCTCACATGTCCCTCCCAGTGTCTCATTGTAGATCTTCGAGCCCTTAACTACCTTGCAATGAATTCTGAAGGCTTTTCATGTACTTGACACTCAGCTCCAGGATGTCAGCCTTTTCCAACTTCCGTTTCCGTATCTGCCAAGTCACAAGATGCTCTCTTTACAGGCCGACTGGGGAGGGCTGGAGCAGTCGCTCCCCTCCTCTCCTGCCTTACCTGATGTGAGTAGTGTCTCTCCAGAAGAGACTTGAGCTGCTCCAGCGACATATTGATGCGTGCACGGCGCTTCTTCTCCATCAGAGGCTTGGAGATCTGTGGGCCATCCAGTAGTCCTCAGAGGGAGAGCCCTAGCTTCCCAGGCCTCCATTTCCTCCACCCCAGGGGTTCCCACCCCGAGAGTCCTCATCCCAGACCCTTCAGGACCCCCCAGACCTTTCGGAAGCTGCTGGCTGAGCCACTGGGGTTGCCCCTTGACGTGGGCTCCGTGCCCATTTTGTGATGTCTGCGCAGACAGTAGGCTGTGGTGCCTTTATAGGGGTACCTCGTTTGCATGTCAATGAAGCTCTAGGAACTGGAAAAGCCCAGAGGGGGAGGGGAGGGGACAGAAAAGGGATGCGACACAGGAGAGCTGTCCCTGTGTCCCTCTATGGGACCCCTTCCAATGGCCCAGGCTGCCTCTGGCTTTCAAGATGCTTCCTGTTTCCCTGAGGACTCTTTTTATTTATTTATTTTTTTAAAATTTCTTCCTTGACTCACCACTACTCTTTCAGTATGAAGACTTTTCCCAAACCCATCCTCTCCAGGCGTTGTTGAGCCAGCTACTGTAGGTTCTGAACCTCACCACAGTCTCTGCTTGCCAAGTCCTCGCTGCTTCTTATCTTCCAACATTCTTCTGGTGGTCCTCCAGTGTCACAGGGAGCTTTGTGGGCTGCATGCCACCCTAAATGATGACGACAGAGCCCTAGGTGTCCTGAGGCCGGATGAAGACAGCAAGGAGTGCTGGCCTTTCCTTTCACGCTCTGGCCACGCTGAGATGCTAAATTAGTCGCTCTAATGTCGGGACAATGTAGCAATTTTCTGCCTGTGGCTGCTCAAAGCCAGTAGCAAGTGGGGCCTGTGGGGGCCATGCGGCAACATGTGTCCCATTAAAGCATGCAGCCCGCCCGCAGGGCCACAACAGCCTCCTCCATCCAAGGACCCAGTGCCTGGAGTATTGACTGATAGGACCCAATGTGGAGGGGAGGCAGACCACCCCAGCCCCAGCCCTAGGCTTCCAGGCTTGTGACCCTGGTGAAGGACCAGTCTTTAAGAGAAAAAGCAACTGAACTGTGTGTGATAGCTTGCCCTTTTAATCCCAGCATTCAGGAGGCAGAGGCAGACAGATCTCTGAGTTCGAGGCCAGCCTGGTCTATAGAGAGGATTTCAGGACGGACAGTGCTACACAGAGAAAACTTGTCTCGAAGGGGTGGGGGGCGGGATGGAGGAAGAGAACAACTGGGGTTCAGTTCTGCATACGTTCTCTTAAGTTCGGTGGGTGGGGAGTCGGGGTGGGGACCACTGATGCTCCGAGGACAGTCCAGACTGCATTGCATGTCCCTGTCTGCCTGTCCATTGTCCATATTGTGAGGACACAGGAGGCCCTGAGACCACCTACTATATAGGAAAGGGCAGCAATCCCTCACTCCTCTCCCATTGCATCCGGGAAGTCGGAATCACAGCTGTGACTGACAAGGCTGACCTCCAGGGAAATTTTTGGGTTCAAACCTAGATAACGCCTTTTCTTGCACTCTCTGGGTCTTAGTTTGGGGGCCAGAAGACTGAAGTGACATTCCTGACAATGCCTATGAGGCCAAAGAAGTCGCGCAAGTCCTACAGTTTTTTCTGTGGTCACCGAATGAAAACAATGACCTCTGTAGGGGCTCACGAGGCTATTGCTGGGTGAAGACGCCCCCAAACCGGGCATCTTTCTGACCCCTTCACTCTCCCCCTCCCACCCCACTCTGGGCATTGACGGGCCTTGTCGGTGCTCTCCCAAGCGCCAAGCAGCGTGGAGAATCGAGACCCGCCCTTCCCCTTTCAGGCCTGGGCAAAGGCAACCAGAACTCTGGAACGTTCTCCTGCCCCCACCGCAGGGCGGGTGGACCAGGTCCGGCTGGGTTTGTACCCTGGACTGGTGATGGGGCTGAAACCCAGTGGCGAGCGCTGCCACGCGCCGGGTAGCTTTAAAGCGCCAGGGCCAGCCAGGTCCGGATGGCCTCCGTGCGCCTAGCTACGGCTTTGGGGAGGTGGCGGTGAGGTACAAAGGCGCCGCGGGGCAGGCAGGCGGGAGGCTCGGCACAAAGGGAGCAGCCAAGTGTTAAGGGCATTGTGCGGGTTGTACAAAGCGGCGCCCGCGCCCGCGTCCGCCTTCTCGGGGCCAAACTCCTGGCTCCCCGCGGCGCTCAGGCTTCCAGCTGCCGCACAGCTGTAGGGAGGCCGGGCGCGCGCCTCACCTCGACGGGTCCCCTCCACCCTCCTCGCTCTCAAGCCAAGCGAGAAGCAGAGCAATTTGTCTTGTAATTACAATACTTCCCCATAAACTGCAGCCCGCGCCTTTCAGTCCGGTGCATTAGCAAACCAATGGTTCTGCGCACAGCTTTCCCGGCGCGCTGCGGGGCGCGGGGTACTGGTCCCGCCACCTCTCCAGAATAAGGGTCACTATTAAATTTCCCTCTCTTGCTCCCGCTCGCACCCCACTACCCTCCACAGTCTGGGCCATCACCCCTCCCAAGCCTACGCCCAGGGATCCCGGCTGCACTATGTGGGGCCGTTCATGTGGGTGGCTAAGTGTTTCTTAGGTAGTGGAAAATTGACCACAAAATGTACTAATCTGCAATGTTCTGCTTTGGCTGGGGGAAGTGAGGCCCGCCACGGGGCCAGGACCGGATTCTCAGCGGTTGCACTCTGCTAGGATCTGTTTAACAGGCTTGCTGCTTGGCTGCATCTAACCTCCCACCGCCCCTTTCCTGTGGGGCTGGTCCTTGGTCATGGATCTTTCTACCTGTGAGGACTTCCCTGCTTTTTCTTCCTCTAACGCTACAACCCTCCTCCCCGCCCCCGTGCCTGCTCCTATGGCTGAGGGTTGTGCAAGCTCACACACACCAGGAGGGACCCCTCCATCTCGCCCTCTCCCGCTCCCAGTTCCTAAGCCATCTTCTTCCTTCCACTGCATAGTTTCCATTTCGGCTTCGTCCTCTAGGTAGCCTCCTCTCCCGCTAAGTTAGAGCCAGACTTTTGCATCCAGCAAGGTCACTGGAAAAGGTAAAGAGATGCAGGCTGAGGACAGCTGTTCCATCTGTCCACGAGGGACGTCTTACCTCCACCCGCAGGAAGACCCACCAGGGAGAGTGCAACGCTTTCCCAGAGGTGAGGAGAGACAGCTGCTCACCGTACTCTCTATGAGCAAGCTGGGCACAGTACACTGTCTTTTGGACTGCCGAGAAGGTCATGGACCAACTTAGAAACCCTGCTTATGCAAACCAGGATGTAGGCCACCAACTCCCTCTCTGTCTTTAGCACTCAGAGTCCCCAAGGTACCTGGAAAGGAGTACAGGCCCAGGAGGAGCAAGGGGGAAAACCCAGGCCCCTTTTGCTCATTCAAGGAAAATTGTTCGCTCTCAGCCCACCCTCGCTCCCACCCCTTTCTCACACTGAGGAATTTAAGGCTGAAAATGACCCAGTGTCTTTGTGCCTTTCCCATTTACTTTCTCGATTTTGGAAAACACGCGCGCGCGCGCACACACACACACACACACACACACACACACAGGTCTGAAAACAAAGCGGGAAAGGGGTTTGGAGCCCCCAAACAAGACCCCTCCCAGATGTCCCACTTCCCATCTCAGACACCAGCCCTAGTGTCCTCCTGAGTGGTGAGAACGCTTCCTTCCCGAACTTTCTGCTTTAATCCGGTGCTAACGGTGGAGCCTGGCTTGCAGAGCACTGTGGGTGCTGTGGTAACCGGAGGAAGAAGCCTGTCCCCCTCACAGATGTGGGACCAAGTGACGGCTGTGTGTAATTAACTATCAGGGACACAGCAAAGGCCCTGAGAGGACTCCGTCCATTGTCTCCAGATGAGGTTGGAGAGGCTGCGATTGTTTAACTCTGTTTAGCTGTGTGGAGACTTTGAATTGCACAGCAGCCAAGGGCCCTTCAGGGGACAAAGGCTGGGACTTCAGTGAGTGCATCAACACTGACCGCACCAGCCCAGCTCAGGAAGAGTGAATTCAGAGAGAACCTCTTTGTCCTGGCCTTTTGTGTCTTTCTGGAGCTGGCTCTAATCTTTAAATATTTACCCGGCCCCTTTGTGCACATATGACTTATGCGCAGTGGGCTGATGTACTCATAAATCACGCGTCATTTACCAGACTGGAAAGAGCCGCTTTCATTCCTCCAGCCTGTGACTGCCAGAGAAGAGGAGCGAAAACTTTCTTTTGGAAGACTGGGCCATCTCTAGTGGAGACTCAAGACCACGCTGGCCAAACTCCTCCCCACTGCCCTAAATAGCCAGGAACTGCAGAGAGGGAAACAGCCCTCTGCAGATGACTGATCTGGCGTCCATCACTGGGGAGGGTGCTGAGAGAGCCTCCTGGGCCTTTCTCCTGCTTGGCTTCAGGCTTGAATGAAATAACACTAGCCAGCTTCCACCCTGGGAATTTTCTGTGTAGGATGAGTGAAGGGCTTGTCAATGCTCGTCTTGTCCGTGCACCTGTACCTGCCTTGGGCTTGGTCTCTTCTTCATAATCTCTCTCACTCAATAAACTCATGCGGCTTCAGAAACTAAAGTCTGGCGGCTGGAGAGATGACTCAGTGGTTCAGAATGTATATTGTTCTTGCAGAAGACAGCTCGAGGGGGTTCAACTCGCCTTTGGCTTCCACGGCACCTACACTCACATGCAAGCACACGCGCCTGCGCGCGCACGCACACACACATTTAAAATAATAAAAATGAACCTTTAAAAAGTCTGAAGATGACTTCATCTCAGCTTGTGGTTTTATTTGGAGATGTTAAGGTGGTTTCTTAGTGTTGGTAATCGCCTCAAGTCATGAAGAATTGAGTCAAGTTGTACCAGGCAATAGTCCCTAGCCATCAAGAATTGCTTGGCCACCGCCTGACCACTCTGATCCATTTGTAGAAACAATATACCTGGATACAGAAACAACCCACCCTGCTTCCAGTCAAACGGAAAATATCTGCAACTTCCTGTAGCTACCTACATACGTGTGCATGTGTACAGACATGTTTCCAGCCTCTCTAAGTGCATGCAGCCTTCACCCAGAGGAAAGATTGGGGCTCCATGCTGTTCATAAAGCAGTGTCGGCCTGTCCAGACCAAGTTTGTCTGCTTCTCTGCTTCAGTTTCCTTAGTGTCTGAAACAAGACAGCTCTCCAGCGGGGCCCGGACAGAAAGGCTACTTTAGCCTGTGATGGCAGCATCTAAGGATGGGGGAAGGCACAGGCTGCGGGCTGTGGAGGGACCCTGCTGCCTGAGAAGGAGCTCCTTTTGTGCTTGCCTGGAAGCTGCTAGGACAAAACACTCAAGCGCTTGCTTATTTTCAAGGAGAGAGGAGCAGTGCACCCCAGGACTTCCCCTTCTTTTTTACCATTCTGGAGATCTGTCACCTCCTGTGTTTGGAGGACAGCTGGGGACACAGCGTGACTGTTCTGTCAGACTCCTTTCCTCTCTGGTAGGAAAGCAAGCCTGTGTTTCCCTGTGTGCACATCTGGATGTGGCGCTCTCAGTGTGTGGCCGTTTCCCTGGGTCTGCATGTGCTCTTTGATCACATCCCTGGATATACGCATGCTCTCCACATGACTGTTCCTCTGGTTATCTGTACTCCTGTGTATAACTGTTTCCTTGGGTGTAGATACTCTTTGTGTGTAGCTATATGTTTGGGTGTGCATGTGCTGTGCTGTGCTGTGTGGCTGTTCCCCTGGGTATAGACACTGTCTGGATGTGATTGCTTCTCTGGATATGGGTACTCTCTACAACTGTTTCCTGAGCATGCACATCCTCTGTGCGACTGTTTCTCCAGTTACACACATGCCCAGATGTGCATAAACTTGCCTGGTTGCCTCTCCATCACTGCACTATGAGTTTTAGGCCCCAACAGTTTCAGCTATCCCAGCGATCCCCTTAACACTTTACATTCCCTGAAGTGTAGTTCCACCCGGCAGAGAACATCTTTCCCTTTCTCCCACCTCCAGGATAAGACTGAAGAAGAACTGGGGCCTCGGGGGAGGTGACAGGCAAAGGACAGAGTTGCTCAAGCTTTCTGGTCAGTTACACTTTACTGCTTGCCTAAGAGTGGAGATCAAAAGCTCAGGGCCTGAGAAGGGGCTTCTGCCCGAGAGGGTTTTGTGCCTCCAGGTCAGGAGCCCTCCCTGGAGTGAGGGACAACAAGCACCCTCTAGTGGCTCTGATGTGTTCTGGCTCAAGGGGAAAGGTCCAAGTCTAGAGAAGCCATGAGGAACAGCAGTAGTCAGAACTCCGGCTTTAAGCCACTCAGTCACCTTTATGTCCTGCTTAGCCTTTAGTGTCAAATTGACACAGCCTAGTTATCAGAGAAGAAAGTCCGATTGAGGACTTGCCTAGATCGGACTGAGCATGTCTGGGGGGGCGGGGCACACAACATTGCTCAGGCTGGTGGTGCTATGTAGCAAGCATTCTAATTGTTCTTAATAAAAAAACGTAGAGTCAGATATCACGGGGTGAAAGCTGAAGGGTCAGAGAAGCAGAGTGGCCAGCCACTAGAGTTCTTACCTCTACCAACGCTCAGACCAAAGGGTGATCCTGTCTCTACAAATCCTCAGACTGTAAGACTCTCCTCAAACTGATTGCTTCAGATCACTGCCTCAGACTGTAGTGAGCTCTTGTCTCCTCCCACCTTATATTCCTCTCTCTGCCCAGCCATATCACTCCTGTCTCCATCTCCCTAGTGCTGGGATTAAAGGCCTGTGACCTCAAGTGCTTGGATCACCTTTGTATGAGCTCTGTTTCTCTTTTACACTGGATCAATTTCATGTAGCCCAGGATGGCCTTGAACTAACAGATGTCCGCCTGTCTCTATCTCCCAATGTCTGTATTTGGTGTGGGTGTGGGTGCGCATGTTGCTGGGGTTTCACCATAACCGAACCATTAAATCTTTCTCCTTCCTGTCACCTCACTTTAACAAATGTCTCCCAAGCATGATTGAGACACAGTGCTGGGCTTTGTAGAGTATCCTGGCTCTGGTCACTCTGATCCAACCAGGTCACTGTCACCCAGCGAGGAAAGTCAGGGTAAGACCTCAAGCAGGAGCTCAGCAGAAGTCATGGAGGATGCTGTTCTATAGCAGCCGGCTCTCACCTATGCTTAACTTTCTTATACAGCTCAGGAACACCTGTCAAGGGATGGGAGCACCCACAGTGGACTGGGCCTTCCTATATCAATTAATAATCAAGATACCTCATTGGCCTCCCCACAGACCGCCTGATGTATGCCATTACTCAATCAAGGCTTTTCTTTTCGGATGACTCTAGGTGGCAATGAGGTGACATTAAGGTTATGCAGGATAAAGGATGATTGTCCAAGACAGTGAAATAAGGATTCCGTTTCACAGGAAGATGAGGGTCACAGAAGTTACCTGCCTGTGGTCACCAAGACAGGATATCAAGCACTGGAGCCTGGGATACCAGGTTCCCCACTCCCATGCCCACACATCACAGTTCCTGCCAGGCAGTGTGTTCACATGCAGGGTTCACCATAGCAGCCTGGCCCCAGCTTCTCCTGGAACCTGTCTCCCATCCTGCGTAAGCTTGCTGCTTCCTGCCTCTGCCTTTCAAATCCAACATCAGCTCTTGGTTCCTCGATGATGCTCTCATTTCCAGGAGCTGGTAAGTTCTGCCAGCTCCTAAAGTCTTCCACGCACCCTTCCTATCCTGCAGGTCTCACACCCTAGGGACTCTCTCCTGGACTCAAACCAACCAAACAAACCCCACACTCCATGGACTGCGGATATAACTCAGTAGACTGCTTGCCTATCATACAAGAAGCCTTCAGTTCAGTCCCCAACCCGACAATGATGGCTTACACCTGTTAATTGCAGCCTTCGGGAGGGGAGAGGCCGGAGGAGCAGATCCAGGGCATCTTCCAGATACCAAGTGAGTTCAAGGTTGTCCTGGGCTGCAGAGGATACACTGTCTCAAAAGCAAAACAAGGCCGGGTGGTGGGGCCTGTGCCTTTCATCCCAGTACTAGGGAGGCAGAGGCAGGTGGATCTCTGCGTGGTGGTGGATTCCAGACTGGTCGAACCCATCTCATGTCGTGCCACATAAATACGTGCAAGTACTGTATACATTTAAAATGGCAAAAACTGAAGGAGAACTTCTGATTTTATCAGTAACATCTTCATTATAGGCAGTATGGAAAACACACACATACAAAATCTACAGGTCAATAAAAGTCGTCCAGGATGTAGCCACCTAAAGGAATTCGCCTTTAGATCACAACCGTTCTCCCAGGCTCACTCGCGTTACGCTTCTTTCCCAAAGCAAGCACCGCAAAGTTTGGCACGCTGCCTGCAAAAAAACGTATTTATTTCCACTTAGGAGGCGGGTGTGGTCGGTGAAGCCCAGTTGTTTCTTGGGACCAAGGCTCTAAACTCCGTGTGAACTTCTACTTCCGGGCTGGCCCGTCACCGCCCCTCTGTCGACGTCAGGTTGTCCCGGCGACGGAGGGGCGGGGCATGCGGGGGCGTGCCCGGCTCCCTTCAAATTCCGGCCCTCAGCCATGCGTGGCATCAATTCTCGCGAGAACTCGCAGGCGGCTAGTACCCAGCTCCGGGTACCTGCCATTCCCGTGCCGGCCTCGGCGGCAGAGTGCGCAGGCGCTGCCTTCGTGTTTCCTCGGCTACTGTCGGCTGCGCTTCGACCCGCTAGTCCGCCGCCGGCTCTTCCGCCGCCCTGCGCCATGGCGGGCTGCGCGGCGCGGGTTCCGCCGGGCTCCGAGGCGCGCCTCAGCCTCGCTACCTTCCTGCTTGGCGCCTCGGTGCTCGCTCTGCCGCTGCTCACGCGCGCCGGCCTGCAGGGCCGCACCGGGCTGGCGCTCTACGTGGCCGGGCTCAATGCGCTGCTGCTGCTGCTGTACCGGCCGCCGCGCTACCAGGTGCTGGCCGGGTGCGGAGGGACCGGAACCGGGATCGGGGACGGGCGGGCCGGACGAGTGAACCGAGACCGGGGACAGGTGGACCGGGACCAAGGACGGGAGGGCTGGAGGAGTGGACCAGGGACGGGACGGGCGGGACGAGGTGACTGGTTGACCCGGACCAGGGACAGGGCGGGACGGATAGGATGGACCGGTAGACCAGCACCCCAGACCTGGATCAGCGACGGGGTGGACTGGTAGATCTGGACTAGGGTCGAGTGGACCGGGACCAGGCAGGACCGAGCTGGCTGCGATGGGGCAGGGCCCGGGTGCACTGGAGCTGGAGTCAGGGCAGATGAGCCCGGGTAGACAGGGGTCAGGGACGATCTGGCGTGGACCCGGCAAGGGTAGGCGTGCCACGTACATCAGAACCAAGTAAGTAGACTGGTCGGAGACCAGGAACCGGCAGGCAGGGCTGAGTAGATGGACAGCGGACAGGGACCGGATTGGAGCTAGTCTAGCGGAAGCGGGTTAAAGGAACACTGGCGGTGATCCGGTGTTCGGTTCTCCTTTTACCCCCCATTCGCGCGCCACGTTGCGGGATGCCTCCCACAGGCGTGTATCTCAGCCCTAAGTTGAGGTCACAGAAGGGACCCACTTATCCTATCTGTGGGTGTTAATTGCGTTTCCTGCCGATCAGCAGCTTTGGCAGATTCACGTCAGGTGGGAAGTGAGCTAACCCACGAGTTTTTAATTTATGTAATGACAGGTGTGGTGTTTTACCTGCTTGTCAAACGCCCCACTTCACGGAGGTGACTGGGCGCAGAGTTCCGAGTGTTCGTTCTCATTAGACTCTTTGACTTGGGAGCCATAAACTGGGCTTAAACAGTTTTCCATCGATAGCTCTGGTAATGCTAGCTGTAATAATGATAACTATTGTGGCTGTTAAAACTGGTTGTTTCTAGGTGCTTTGCGTGGTAAATCCACTATGTAGCCCTACAGTATTGTTATTTCCGTGGTGTACTTGCCGAAGGCTAGAGAGAAGAGAGAGAGGAATGTAAGACACAATTTGAACCCAAGCAGTCCCATTTCATTCTCTTTATCTCTTGAGCAAATGGACTCTGCTCCCTGATGGCCTTGCTAATCCAGGACAGTCTGCAGTCTGGGTTTGGGCTCTGCTAAGGGAACATGCGGTGACCGAGGCTCTTCTGGGTGTGTTTTCAGATAGCCATCCGAGCTTGTTTCCTTGGCTTTGTGTTTGGCTGCGGTGTGCTGCTAAGTTTCAGCCAGTCTTCTTGGAATCACTTTGGCTGGTAAGAAGACTTTGGGAATGATGGTGTTGAAGTGTAAGGGTCGACAGAGTAGGGGTCTCTCCTCATCCCTGTGTGGGCTCTGACAGAACAGGAGGCTGATTAGGATTCTGAAGAAGCAGCCTCCTGCCTTCCCCGAATTCCCGCATTTCAAAGCCAGTGGACACAGTTGTGCATGTTAGTGGCTTGTGTGGTGGATGGAATCGGGTCTCCCTGTGCCCTCTCCAGAGGTCCCTGCCATCTGAAGCTGCTGTGATGGGTGCAGGTCCGCGGTGATGGGAAGGGGGAGCCTCCCGCTGTTTTCCTAAGCCTTCTCCGTCTCCGGTTTCTATTAGGTCCCGGCTAGTGCTTCCCCCACAGCCAGTGTAGGACTTTCCCCTACACTATGAGTTCAGTCCCTTGAACCTTCTAGCCTCTGACTTGGATATGAATCGTGGCTTCAAGGTAAAAAGCTTTATCTCCTATTATCAGTATGCTGAGCCATCTAATCCTTCTTTGCTGGAATTATTTTAGTTTTGTTGAATTTTGTTTCCAACATGCGTCACTACCTTGTTGATATCTCCCCCTTTCATGTTAAAGTGTGAAACTGTCATCTTCAGAGGAGCAAAGGGACCATAATTCCTCCTTCACCCAGGGAGATTTTTTTAATTTTGTCTGTGACATCCGGAAACATAACAGCACCACCCAACCCCTCTTTCTGCAAGCTCAGGAGGGAGTGAATGGCGTATATGTGTGCCTGGTGTCACTCAGGTGGGTGACGGTGGCAGCGCATGACAGGGTTAGGGACAGTCAACAGACCCAGATCTGGGCTTTGGCCTGGCGTGGTTCTCTTGTGTAGTCTCCCACTTCGTTTTTGTCTTCAAATAGGTACGTGTGCTCGCTGTCATTATTCCACTATTCTGAGTACTTAGTGACAGCTGTCAATAACCCCAAAAGTCTCTCCTTGGATTCCTTCCTCCTGAATCACAGTCTGGAGTACACGGTGGCCGCTCTTTCTTCCTGGATAGAGTTCACACTTGAAAACATCTTTTGGCCAGGTGGGTGTGCCCTGCTTTCCTCTCTGGGAGAGAAGGGTGCCTTCCCGTGGGCTGAGGAGTGACATTGGTTCACCTCTCTGGTCTAATCTCCCCTGAGCAAGTCTCCCCCGTGCTCTCTCCTCTTTAAGCTGTTTATAAAGGACAGACTCCGCTCGCTGGAGAATTCTGCGTCTGGATTTCCAGTCCAGGACGTGCTGACCTTTTGCTCTACATCTTGCAAATGCGGGGCACCGCGTAAGACAGCGCTCTGCCTTGCTGGTTGCAATCTTAATTTTGCCATTGGACAGATGACTTTTCTGTCCAATGGCAAAATTAATGTCATTGGCCTGAATACTTTTCTGAAACATGAGAATTTCACAAGGTTTTATTGTTTAAAACAAACAAAAATCCCAAACCTGTCTGTTGGAAACACAGCTAAATCATGCTTTCCCAAAGCCAGATGTGGGGCTCGGACTGACTTCAAAGGGGCATATCCCTTTCAGCAGTACATGCTCCCCGGAGAGGGATGTTAGCGGAGCCCGCCAGGCCTGGCAGGGAGAGCTCCCCACAGTTGACTTGTTGGCACCTGAAACAGGAAGCGGTGTTGCTGGGATTGGGGTGGTGTTTTTCTTACCATTCAAGTTTGATGTGAGGACGGATGCTGATTACCGTCAGGGTGTTTTCTGATGTTTGTCTCTTGAGGGAATATGTGAAGGGGTGATCACACCCAGTGTCCCCACTCCCTCTCGTCCCTGCGTCTGTTTCTGCAGAACTGAAGCAGATCACCTGGCTCAGCACCACTGGGCTGCTGATGGTGGTGTTTGGAGAATGCCTGCGGAAAGCGGCCATGTTTACAGCTGGCTCCAATTTCAACCACGTGGTGCAGAGTGAGAAGTCAGACACCCACACTCTGGTGACGAGCGGGGTATACGCCTGGTTCCGGCATCCCTCCTATGTGGGGTGGTTTTACTGGAGTATCGGAACCCAGGTATGGTACCACAGTCGACTCTGGTTCCCTGTGAATTTACTTGCCTAAGTTCATTTCTTTTTTGGGTATCTGTACAAAAGGTCTTGCTGTATAGTTCAAGCTGACCCAAACTTGTAGCCCTTCTGTATAGTCCACTTAACTTTTAACATTTAACTTGCTGTATAATTGGCACACCATAAACCCCACTGTTTCTAAGTGCAAAACTGGGAGACCTAATCTAGTCCACCAGTGTTTTTGGAGGTAAAATCTTGATATTTTAAATTAATTATTTTCTTTATTTTAAAGGGAAACCCCCAGAGCAGGCAGGTAGTAAGTCTGGCGCTTACCAGGATAGAGGTGAGCACAGAGGTCAGCCAGCTGCAGGGGGGTGGGGAAGAGAAAAGAAAGGGTCAAGCCTGCCTTCCTGAGTGGCAGGTGACCCCTGGTGGCATTGGTACTCTGCTCCCCTGTATTGGGCCCCATTCTGCCACGCTGACTCGAATCTGGAACACCTCGGGTGAGGGAATGTCCTCAGCCACCCTGTGGTGACTCAGTGGGTTTTCATCAAAAAAAGAAGAAAAAAATAGGTCTAAATGAGGCCAAGGTCCTGCCAGGTTAATGAGAGCTGTGGGGATTTGTTCTGTCTGGGGATGCAGACAAACCCTTGTTTCTCGACAGCTGTCTCCGGATGCTATACTTAGTCCGAGAACAGCTTGACCAGAGAGTGCAAATAGAGCTTGGAAAGATCATCTGGGGATCCTAGACCTCACATCAGTGGTGCATGGGCCATGGGGTGCTTGTGACCCCCATAACGGTATAGGAGGTGGCTCTGGCATTTCTGAGACACAGCCCTTGCTGCCACAGCCCCGCCCGGGACCGCACTGACGGGAGCTGACGAATGTAATTTGTCTAAGCACTTATGCGCCCTAAGGGCCTTAGAACTGAGAGGTTGTTGTACATGTCCTGCGTGCGTGCATGCCTGTGGGGATGAGTCTCTCCTGCAGCAGTCCTTATCCTACACACAACACTGTTTCTTGTCCTGACTCTTTGGAACGGTGCTGATGATGACGCACTGAAAATTGGTTTTCCCAGCTCAGGGGAAGGTTACCACTTATGATTAAGAATCCTGCCATCAGCCGGGCGATGGTGGCGCGCGCCTTTAATCCCAGCACTCGGGAGGCAGAGGCAGGCGGATCTCTGTAAGTTCGAGACCAGCCTGGTCTACAGAGCTAGTTCCAGGACAGGCACCAAAACCACAGAGAAACCCTGTCTCGAAAAAACCAAAAAAAAAAAAAAAAAAAAAAAAAAAAAAAGAATCCTGCCATCATCGAGGCTGCCCAGAAAGCTGCACACATCTGCCAGGAGTGAATGTGCAGACTGTGGGTACTGCCAGATGGGCCAGCCTGGTCTACCTTAAAAGCCAGGACAGTCTTGAGAGTGGGGACAGAGACTGCTTGAAGGTTGAGTGGCTTAGCATGGTGCTATGAGCACAAAGACCAGTCTGACCAGTGCAGGGGGCGGGGGAGAAGCTGGGGCGTGCCCAGTTCACTGGGCGGGAGTATCACCAGATGGGTTTGATGCCTGTGGTGAGTATGGGTGGGTTAGTGGTTCCTGTGGTAGCAAAGGAAACTTCTAGGAGCCAGGGATACTTTTAGTTTTGACAGGCTTTTTGGCTGGAGGACTAGGTTAGAAAGGGGGCAGGGGTTAAAAAGAAGCCATATAAAAAAGGTGGCCAGGCACAGGTTTTCTGGCCTGTGGGCACTGCCACTTTCTGAGCAGAGTGGTCTCTGAAAAGAAATATTTTTGGAAGCTCAGATGGTAGCCATTGTCTCGTGTGGCCTTGAGGGTAGGAAGCAAGGGTCCAAGACAAGTAGGCATATCCAGGTGAGCATGAGTTCCCACATCAGGGAATTCACATTTGAGTCCAGGTGGGTACGTGTGTCACTTATGGCTGAAACCCGAGAGCCTTGTCTTTCCCTGTAACTGAGGTCTTGCTTACTCAAGAGAATCTGCACAGGCAGATGCAGCAGTGAGGGTGCCTCCAAGGAGCATTAATGGCTCTCACAGTATTGTGAGAGTCTTCTGGGGCCCGGCAAGAATCCTGTGGGGAGAAGGTGCTCGGGCATCGGGGCACCCTGACCTCGGGCATTCTGTGCTTCTTCTGCCAGGTGATGCTGTGTAACCCCATCTGCGGTGTTGTCTACGCCCTGACAGTGTGGCGCTTCTTTCGTGATCGCACGGAAGAGGAGGAGATCTCGCTGATTCACTTCTTTGGGGAGGAATACTTGGAGTATAAGAAGCGGGTGCCCACGGGTCTGCCTTTCATAAAGGGAGTCAAGGTGGAGCTATGACGGGCAGAGGCCTGCGGGGCCAGGGAATCTCTGGCCCTGCGCAGCCTAGGACAGAACTGCTTCCAGTTGGCCTCTGCAGAATGAGTTTCTTAACCATTTTATATGTCACTAATTAATCCTCAGAATGTCACCCAAGACCTAACAGTCAGAAGGCCTTAGGACCACAGGGCCCACTGCAGCATTCTCTTGTGCGGAATGAAGGTAGAACACGGATAAACAGTGAACAAGGAGTGTGTCACAACTGTCCCATCAGTGTCCTTCCTACAGTGGTGGGGTGAGGACCCACGCCGCAGTCTCACGCCCCCTCAGGCTAGAGTGTATTGGCACTGTGAGCAGGACATCGGGAGAGGACACTGCTCTCTGCAACACTCATGCCAGAATGTGTAGTCAGAGCTGCCTCATAATAGCATTCGAATTACATAAAACCCTTTAATTTAACCGAAAACGCAACATAGCTTTAACCTTGTCTGCCCTAAGTGCATGAGCATCTGTGTTAAACTCCAAAGGCTTTGACACTTTGGCTCATTATACATTTAATCATTCTTCCACGCCAGTTTCCTAAAAGAGCAGTGTAGATTCAGAGGGACACCAATGCTCCCCGTCTCTATGTTTCAAAGCCAACAGGCAGACTCCTCAGAGTGCTCCGGGGCTTTGAGCAACCATTGCGCTGGGCCTGAGGATGCGGGCCCCGGGATCTCCTGCAGCCCTGGCCTCAGAGATTGTGTTTCCAGAAAGTATTTTTCAGGTGCCTGCACTAATGTTGAGAAGTACTACCCTCTGTGTGTTTGGGATTTTTATTCATTTTATCATAACTTGTGTTTTGTATTTTTTGTGTTGCAGTGTTAGTCTATTATATTTGTTTTCTGTGTTCTTTCAAAGTAAGTCACCCCCACTACTGCTTCAGATGTTCCAGAGGGCCCAGCATAGCTTATGTGTCGGCGAGTCCAGGCAACTGACTCCTAAAGAGCTGTCAGTTGGGTGGCTCAGTCCAGGTCCACTGGCATCTTTGTTCTGCAGGTCTGGGGAGAACATTTAGCTTTTTCTATGTTCCACATAAAAAGCTCCAAGAGGTGTTGTGGTGTGGGACAATGGTTTATATTCTGTCAATTATATTTTAAATAAACGCTGATTGGCCAGTAGCCAGACAGGAAGTATAGGTGGGAAAACCAGTCAGGAAGTAGAGGCAGGTCAATGAGAACAGGAGAATTCTGGGAAGAAGGAACTCCTGGTTGGTAGTTGTGAGCCCACCACAGAAGAAGCAAGATGTGACAGCCTAGCTGAAAAAGGTACTGAGCCATGTGGCTAATATAGATAAGAATAATGGGCTAATATAAGTTGTAAGAGTTAATAAGAAGCTTGAGATTCTAGGCCAGTCAGTTTATAACTAATGTAGACATCTGTGTGATTTCTTTGTGACTTAACAACTGTGGAAACCGGGAAGGACAGAAAACTCAGTCAACAAATGGCACCCACATGGACAACTGCATCCACATAAAGCCTGACAGAGCTTGGGAAGTAATTCTAGACAGAAAAGAATAGAGTTAAGCATGGCTTATTGATAGCAGCATTTTCTCAGGTGGGCTCTGCTTACTAGAAGCAAGTGCTCTCATTTAAGAGAGGCTTCCTGACTCAGCATTGACTGCAGTGAGGCTGGAATTTCAGAAAGCTAAGGAATGGGCTGGATCCAGCTGTCAAAGCCATGGCTTTAATCCTACCCATATTGCTTAGCAAATTAAAGTCTCATGTGGTCAGAAAAAGAGAGAGATATACAGTAAAGAGAGATTCAAAGATGAAGAAAACCTCTAAATTGTTTACAGTGTGTTAAAAATATATGCAAGTTTGGGAGAGTAAAGAAAGAGGTTAAAGTCCTTAAAATAAAAAAGAGTAGTTGGGTTTGGTGGCACATGCCAGAGACAGAGGCAGACAGATCCTCTGTGAGTTCAAGGTGTGGTAGTACACACCTTTAATCCCAGCCCTCAGGAGGCTGAGACGGGCAGATCTGTGAGTTCAAGGACAGCCTGGTCTATAGACTGAGTTCCAGGACAAAAGTACACAGAAACCTAAAAAAGCCTAAAAGTAAAAATAAAATAAATAGAGGTTAAAATAAAGTCATGTAAAGATGAAATACACACAGAGTCTGGATACTGTGTTATGTTCTCTGAATTGTCTGAATGCTGAGGAAGGAGCAACAGCTGCTAAAAGATGTTTGTTTATAAATGCTGCTGAATTAATCCAAGATAGGTCCTTTGAAAATACCCTGATTTCAAAATTGAAGTCAAAAGGTATGTTTCTTTGGAGAAGAGGTTTTGCTTTTGTTTCCACAGGAAAGGAGAGACTGTGGATTCATTCTGAGTTAAGAAAAATCAGGTTTGGTCAAGGAATGCCACCTGAGAAATCTCTGGTGGGAGCAAATGGCTCAGATGTCTGAGTTCAACATCCAGAATGGATTCAAGATGCTGCCTAAGATGATCAAGCCTCACAGGATACTCCAGTCAGGACTTGATCATAATTCTAAATTTTCTTTAGGTCCCCAAAAGATTATCAGCGCCCCTAACCAGCAGGAAGTAGCCTGGAAAACTACGCCCACATTCCCAAAAAAACAGACTATGGATATTTTCCTTTGTTTAGAATGTTGGTTACAAGTTGTTAATGGCTGATGGTCAGGAGAAAGCTATACAAAGGAGATTGGAGTCAGGGTTTTTTTGTTTTTGTTTTTTTTGTTTGTTTTTTTTTTTTTAAAGGGGGAAGTGGTGTGAGGCAATGGTTTATATTCTGTCAATTATATTTTAAATAAACGCTGATTGGCCAGTAGCCAGACAGGAAGTATAGGTGGGAAAACCAGTCAGGAAGTAGAGGCAGGTCAATGAGAACAGGAGAATTCTGGGAAGAAGGAACTCCTGGTTGGTAGTTGTGAGCCCACCACAGAAGAAGCAAGATGTGACAGCCTAGCTGAAAAAGGTACTGAGCCATGTGGCTAATACAGATAAGAATAATGGGCTAATATAAGTTGTAAGAGTTAATAAGAAGCCTGAGATACTAGGCCAGTCAGTTTATAACTAATGTAGACATCTGTGTGATTTCTTTGTGACTTAACAACTGGAAACCAGGCAAGACAGAAGCCCCGACAACAGTGCAGCCCTCGATTAATCGGACCTGGTCTGGATGTGAGGTCCTTCCAGACTGGGGGTTTTATATGTTTCCTCCAAGCTTCCACTCAGATGTAAAGAGTCTTATGTATCCAACAAACAGGAGACAAACTGGACATTTCCGTGTGTCAGCTAATGCTTGGTTTTGATAGTAGACATGCTGCCGGTGTACCTCGCTTCCCTGCCGTCCACCAGGATCCAGATGGGCCTGCTCAGTGCTGTGCTCAGCCAGGTTCTCATACTTTACAACGTTCCTGGTTCCTTCCCCCATGTACCTCTGAGCAGAGACATTGTTAACTGACACATCACATCACAGGGTTGCCAAGGTGGATACTTAGTATTCCCGGCATTCAGTCTAGCCTTCTGGGAGTCCCCTGGTACAGCTCTGTCCTCCCAGGCCTCAAGCACACCAGTGCACAGACGCACCCTTGGCAAACACTAGGTCAGGCAAGTCCAGGCTGCAGTGGCCGTGGTGTGAAGCACGCTGGCAGCTTGCTGTACCTAGGCTGGGTCTCCACCAGGTACCCCAGTGTGGGGTTGGTAACTGATGCCAACCTTGAAGCCAGTGGGACCCACAAAGTGGGTGCTGCGCTGGGACTTGCTGTTGGCAGTGGTGGCATATCTTTGGGAACCACATCATAGCAGTACAGCAGGAGGGAAATGTTCGTTGACCATGCCAAGGCAGGGTTGGTGTTCTCTGTCTCAGCAGAGATAATGGGCTTGTGTGGCTGGCGAGAAGTAAATGCAGGATAGGGTGCTGGTGGGCCTGCAGATGTGGCATGGAGACTCAGCAGCTGGAGGAATGGGCCGTGGTGGGTGCTCTGGCCAAGAGGGTTGTTAGGGTTAATATGGATGGGGTGCTCAGTATTGAGATATATCCTAGGACCTTGTCAGACAAGGAGGGACAGTCCAGTAGGAGTTAGTATCATGTAGCATTCAGCCAGAGCTGCAAAACCTTGGGGGCTGTGTAAATTGGGGAATTCCAGCCTGTTCTTGCCATAATAGACAGGCGTTCCATCAATAGGGAGGTGACCCCCCCCCCCAAACCTCCTCCACCAAAACTGAGAATCCAGAAACCTCAAAAACTTGTGCCCTGGTCAGTCACCTTAGGAAGCCCAGGAAGCAAGCAGAGCGGGGAATTCAGCCAGCTGGAAGTGCTCTTGGCCTTATTCGTTGCTCTGCTTGGGCCTGCGTGAACTGCCAGGAAGATTGACTTCCTAAGAGGCCAGAGCCCCAAGACCACTTCCAGAGCCTGCAGTGGCCCTGACCAAGTGACGGTGGAGGCGGTGGGTCTGTGGCCAGAGCGCTACTCCGTCTCCACCTCGCCCTTCCCTGCTTAGGCCTCCCCATCAGTGGGATGGGGCCAGGATCGCCTACCTCACAGGGGTGTTGTGAGGACTTCCAATGGTGTCCGGTTGATTTTATTTTAAGGTGAGAGAGGTTTCATGAATTCTTTCGCAGTTTCGTTGTCTATTGTATATTTATCATATTTAACCCCAGCCCTCAACTTCCACGTCCCTGCCTTTTCCCAAAGCCTCTGTTCTTCCTTAAAACATTTTGATTTTCCTTTTCTCTTTTTTCTTTAACTTCTTTATTGACTCATGGGAGTTTCACGTCATGTTCCCCAATTCTGCCCCCCAGTGTCAGATGGTTTAATGCTTAGGTGAGCCAAATGGCATAATGAAATCTCGCAGTATGAGAACGTGGTTTCTCTGTGTTAACTGAAGATAGCTGATGTATACTCAAAAGACATTTAGTCAGCCCAGAAGTAATTTATTTTTAGATTACATGGCTTAATTTTCATTTTTTCTTTTCTTTTTGTTCTATATACCAAAGAGGCTTAGAGGTTTGCCAGTTACTAGCATGAGACCAGGACTTCCTGAGGCCTGCAGAGCTTCTATGGCAGCCATAGCTATTATCCACACCAAGCTGCCCAGGAATAACCATGGCAGGACAGCAATACTCACTTTTGAAATATGATAGAGCCGGAGCACACCTCCTGAATCCCACCCCGCTCAACCGGCTGCAAACGGGAGAGGATGGCTGTTTGGCGGTCAGACCCAGCTCGCTCTCCATGCATCTGGGCTGGGCTGGCTCCAACCTCCATTCCCCTTGAGGGCCATGAAGTTGTCTTTTTGATGGATGGAGAGCAGCTAATGACAGCCCTTGGCATTGTGGGTAGAAAGGCTGAATGTTGGCATTTGACGTCACCCTCCACCTGCCAGAGGCTGGAAAGCTCAACTTGAGAGCAGTCAGGAGGGAGCCCATGCCGTGGGATCACCGCACCCTAGGAGACTTGGGGTTGTGTTTTTAAGGGGTGATTCCAAGGGTGTGAGTGCAGGAAGAGCAGGCCCACCCTCTCGGCACTCCTAGGGTGGAAGTCAATGGTGCGCAGCCAACTATGAGCCCCTATATGGTAGATTTGGCAGGTGATCGCTTTCCCTGCTGCTGGTCTGCAGATTATCCTTAACTTTATAGATGCAGCAGCGACAGGTGGTGGCAGAGAATCAGGCTAATGAGGCTTTTCAGGGATCAGACAGGCCCCCGTGTCCTAGGGCTCTCACAGATTAGGGAACTGTCAGGAGGTTGACTTGTCTAGTTGCAGAAGTTCTTGGGTGGCGAGTGGGTACCACAGAGAGAAAAGGCTACTTGGCAATCATGGAAGCACTCAGGAGGCCCCGTAGCCGTTACAAGCAGGGGTGGCAGATTGCAGATGAGAAAACAAACAGTGGTGGCCTCAGTGGGAGCTGCTGCGTGCGCCTTGGAGATACATTTTATTCCTTCTCTCCTCGTAGCTGCTAACTTGGGGGCTGGTGTATCAGGGAGGCCATATTTGGCATCCGGTCCCTGAGGGTTCGGCCCAAACTCCTAGGTTGCCTCCTCAAAACAGCCAGTGAGTCTTCCTCTTCCCACATCTCCCTGCCTTAGGTAGCTCCACTCTCCTGGTGGCAGCAAGGTTAGAGCCCTCGGCCTTCCCAGTGGGTGAGCAGCTGCACAGCTCTGGGAAGGTTGCCCCTGCTCATCCTAAGTGAGTGGAGGCAGCTTGTCTGACCCATGGCAAGGCGGGGGAATTGTGGAGTAATTACTGTACTCTTCTTTTTACACACAGAAATGTTTATTTAAATATATTAAATGGGATTTTCTTTCACAGATACTGATTATTCTTTCTAATTCTTAAATAAAACAGAACTTGATTTCACTCCAGACAAGCGTCACTGTGTAGGGTGCAGAAGCCACACGTGATAACGGTGTCTGGAGGACAGCTCAGCACCACCAGCATTAAATGACGTGTGTTTTGACTCCTTGGCTCTCTTGAATTCCTGCCCCTAGCACCGTGGTCCTCAACCTTCCTAATGCTGCGGCCCTTTATAATACAGTTCCTCATGTTGTGGTGACCCCCAACCATAAAATTATTTCATTGCTGCTTCATAACTAATTTCCTACTGTTAAGAGTTATAATGTAAATATATGGTAGCAGGATATCTGATATGCAACCCCAAAGGGGTCCCCATCCACATGTTGAGAGCCACCACTCTAGCGACCTAGAGTGATAAATTCCCCTGGCCCCTGAGACAGCAGCGCATGGTATCCATGTAATTGTGTCTGTGTGAGGGGCCCGTCTCTCTGGCACATAAAAGCAACATTTGCTGTTAAAAACGTGACTATAATGGCATCATTTAGTCTCCAAAACTTCAATTTTGGGTCATGCAGCTTAAATCCCCCCCGCCCCGGACAGGGTTTCTGTGTAGCCCTGGCTGTCCTGGAACTCCTTTTTAGAACAAGCTGGTCTTTAACTCACAAACACCTGTCTGCCTCTGCCTCCCGAGTGCTGGGATGAAAGGCATAACAAATAAATCAGGTGGCGGTGGTACATGCTGTTCTTTGCCCCAGCTTAAATTTAAGATATATTTTATGTGTATTTTACTATTTTATGTATTTTACCTGCACACATGTCTGCAGTACATGCATGTGGTACCCACAGAGGCCAGAAGAGGGCATCAGTTCACCTGAACTGGAGTTACAGGTGATCGTGAGCACCATGCGGGTGATGGGATCCTAACCCGGGTCCTCTGAAAGAGCAGCCATGTCTGGAGCCTGCGTGCCAGTCCTGAGAAAGCCAACACCTGGGCGCAGCTCACTAGGACCCAGTTACTAAGCTGCTACCTCTTGTGGTGATGCCGTCCTCATTGAGAGCTTTCCCGTTGCTTCTTGATTGTGAACGTGTGTGGAAATTAGCTCTTTCCTTACGCCATGGCGGTCCAGGTGGTCAGGCTTGGTAGCAAGCTGCTTTGGGTCCTGAGCCACCTTGCCGTCCCTCATCTCTGGTTTCCTACTTGGGTCTGGGGTGGTCTTGGTTCTTTAATGGGGGCCCTTCTGGGAGGATGCTCAGGGCCCAGCTGCTTCCATGGGGCTCAGATGCCCTCTCTCTCTTCTCAGTGATGCTCCCTGGGTCGATCCTAAGGAACAGTTTGATGTGAGCCAGATGGCTTCACTCCCCCCCAATCCCCACTATATCCATTCTGGTAGCTTTCATATTGGAAGACCTTTCCACAGAAGTGTGCCCCTGGAGAGAGCTCTGCCGCCTCTAGTGGGAGTCTCGCCCCAGGTGATGGCTGTGGCTGTTACTAGTTAAGTCTTTTAACAGCTCAGACTGGTGGCCTGTGAGCTGGGGCTATCCTAAGCACATCTTTGTGTGGAAGGGTGAGACCTATGCTCTGCCTTCAACACGCTGGTTCTAGGCAGCTCTCCATCTCCCAACTCTGAATACAAGGCCTCTTCCTCCCAATGGTTTTTTGTTTTCTTTTGGTGTTTCTAGGTTGCAGTGTGGCCCTAACTGGCCTTAAAGTCACTATACAACCCACTCTGGTTCCCAGCAGCCCTACCTCTGTCTCGCTAGGCTTTGATGGTGCCCTGCCAGCCCCAGGGGTCCTCCTGTCTCTACCTCTCCAGTAGATGACAGCATTTTATACCTGAGCCATCTCCCCAGCCCGTTTCTCTTTTATGGCCTAGGTCTTTTATTTCTCTTTGTACACTAAGTCGTCACAGGGAACTGGCTCTAGCTGCCCAGGCTTTCTCCAAGTTCTCACAGAGTGCTGTGGGAGCAGCCGGCCAGTGCTGCAGGTGAGCTCAGGCTCCTTTGGCTTCCTTTCTTCCTGATGTGGTAATCTCTATAAGAACCTTGCCCTTAATTTGCTTGATTACAAGGTCTTCCTTTTTGAACAGTGCCCATCTCATTGATGACTACGTCACCCTTGTAAATTGGTTCTATGTGGCCAAAGGAACAGCTTCATGTTCCCCAAAGGCCTGTGAAACAGATCAGGGCCTCTCTGTCCTTCACGTTTGTCATTTTGGTGAATTACTGGAAGGTATGTTTGTTTTGTTTGTGTGTGTGTGTGTGTGTGTGTTTAGTTGTTTCTTTTAAGACAGGATCTCACTTTAGTGCTCATCCTCTGCCCACACTTTTGTTTGTCACCTGGCTCCTGTTGGAAAGAAGCTGTTTTACCTGGCTGAGGTCTCACTGTCCATGGCATCATCGTACACATTCTGCTCCGTGTGCTCATCCACAGGTACCTGGAATCTGGGTGAGAGGAACCAGTATAGACTGCTTGAGGGCAGCAAAGTCCCTGCTGGTGGCCTTAAACTCACACTGTACCAAAACCGCAAGGTAGCAGACCTTCCAGGGCACACCCAACACTTCCCTTGTTCTAGGACAATTTGCCAGGCCTCGTATGGTTTGTCAGAGCCACTGGCCACAGTAGCATGCAGGCCCTGGTTAGGCCTGGCTTTTACAAGCTATCTGCTGGCCAAAGGAGACACCTCAGGGAACAAACAATGGGGCCAGGTGGCGTGGAGTGACAGCCCACTGGGTTTATTTTAGTTGGCAGTGTGGGGAAGCCTTTCTGCTGACCTTAGTGATGAGGCCCCATGAGACAACGTGGAGCACAAAGCTTGCAGACCGAGGCTCGCCCAGAAGCAGGAGCTAGTGCAAATGCCCCAGGGGACCGGAAGGCCACTGTGGCCAGCGTGTTGCAGGGTCTGACAGAGGTGGGCAGGGACGGGCCGTGGAGTGCTGCCACGCCCTGGTATGGGAGTTGCAGACCACTTAAAAACGCTGTGGGGTATGTTGAAGGGCACAGCAGGTTGACGTGGAGAAAGGCAAAGGCACAAGTCACAGAGTAAGCAGGCTGAAAAGGAGAAGTTTGGTCTGGGGTCTTGGGATGGGTTAAGAATGGGAACAAGGGACCAGGTGCTGGTGGTACATGCCTTTAATTCTAGCACCTGGGAGGCAGGGGCAGGCAAGGCCAGCCTGGTCTACAGAGTGAGTTCCAGGACAGCCAGGGTTACACGGAGAAACCTTGTCTCGAAAAACAAATCCAAACAGAAAGGGAACACGTGAGAAAAGCAATCAACTTGGCCCCCCAGGGTTCAACATCATGTGATGCCATCGACCAAGATAAGGAGTTGGGTGTGGTGGGGTTGTGTCCAGAGTTCTGTTGTCCACTGCTGAGCTGAGGGGCCTTAGACGCCCTAACCAGAAAGTCACCAGGAAGGATGTAGCTGTCGGTGAGTCTGAAGCACAGGACGCTAGGGGACACGGCGGTCACCTCACTTTAAAGCCTCTAACTTTAACCTCACTTTAAAGTTCTCTGACTGCGGCTACTACGGTGGGTTAGCTCTACGTGGGGCACATGCTTGGAGCGCCCAAGGTTGGGCTGAGAGAGAGAGAGCCCAGGGGAATGGAACCAGTCATTTAAGGAGAGAATGGAAGGTGAGGAATGCCTGGGATGTGCCCTGGGAGGAGCCTCCCAGGAAGGAAACTGGAAAAGCACCAAAATCTGACAGTGGCAGGTTAGAAACAAGAAGACCTGCCTGCACGCTGCAGGCCTTGGAGGCGTCCCCAAGCGTGCCCTGCCCGCCTTCTGCTGAGTGTATCTGCAGCACGGAAAATAGGCATCTGGACAAAGACTAACGCAGGAAGCCGGCCTTAGGGGAAGTTATCTGAAGAAATCAAAGCCTTTCACTCAGCCTCAAGTGCCAAGAGAATCCCCCAGGAAACAGCAGGAGCTAGGAACAGAGGGGACTGGAAAGTCAAAACAAAGATGGGGGTCTGCTTTCAAGCAGGAGAACCTAAGTTCAAATCCCAGAACCCATGGAAATGACTCCTGAAGCTGGGCGGTGGTGGCGTACCCCTGTAATCCCAGCACTCAGGAGGCAGAGGCAGGTGGATCTCTGTGAGTTCGAGGCCAGCCTGGTCTACAGAGTGAGTTCCAGGACAGGCTGCAAAGCTCCAGGAAACCTTGTCTTGAAAACAAACAACAAAAATAATGACTCCTGCAAATTGTCCTCTTTCCTCGATATGTGCTCCGCGTGGCACAATGTGTGCTTACACATACACGTGCTCCGCGTGGCACACTGTGTGCTTACACATACATGCACACAGACACAAAATAGTAAATATTTTTTTGGAGATTAAGTCCATGGTGTAATCCTGACTGGCCTGGAGTTTGCCATGTAGACTAGGCTGACCTCAAACTCACAGAGATCTGCCTGCCTCTGCTTCCTGAGTGCTGGCATTACAAGTGTGCAAGCACCATATCCAGCCAAAAAGGGAAAGAAAAACTACCAAGATCAACAGGAAGACTGGAAGAAATGTAAGAAAATGTCCAGAAAAAGAAAGCATATTTAACAAATGGTGCTGGCATAACTGGATATCAACATGTAGAAGAATGAAAATAGACCCATATCTATCACCATGCACAAAACTCAAGTCCAAATGGATCAAAGACCTCAACATAAACCCAGCTACACTGAACCTCATAGAAGAGAAAGTGGGAAGTACACTTAACACATTGGCACAGGGAACCACTTCCTAAATATAACCCCAGTAGGACAGACACTGAGAGAAACAATTAATGGGACCTCCTGAAACTGAAAAGCTTCTATAAAGCAAAGGACACGGTCAACAAGACAAAACAACAACATACAGAATGGGAAAAGATCTTCACCAACCCCACATCAGACAGAGGTCTGATCTCCAAAATATACAAAGAACTCAAGAAATTGGTCACCAAAAGAACAAATAATTCAATAAAAAAATGGAGTAAAGACCTAAACAGAATTCTCAACAGAGGAATCTAAAATGGCTGAAAGACTCTTAAGGAAATGCTCAACATCCTTAGTCATCAGAGAAATGCAAATCAAAACAACTCTGAGATTCCATCTTACACCTGTAAGAATGGCCAAGATCAAAACCACTGATGACAACTTATGCTGGAGAAGTTATGGGGAAAAGGGAACACTCTTGTATTGCTGGTGGGAATGCAAGCTGGTACAGCCCCTTTGGATGGCAGTGTGGCAATTTCTCAGAAAATTAGGAAACACCTTTCCTCAAGACCCAGTAGTACTACTTTTGGGTATATATCCAAAGGATGCTCAATTGTGCCACAAGGACATGTGCTCAACTATGTTCATAGCAGTATTGTTTGTCATAGCCAGAACCTGGAAACAACCTAAATGCTCCTTGACCAAAGAATGGATAAGGAAAATGTGGTACATTCACACAATGGAGCACACAGCAGAAAAAAAATAACATCTTGAATTTTGCAGGAAAATGGATGGAGCTAGAGAATATCATTTTGAGTGAGGTAACCCAGACCCAGAAAGACAATTACCACATATACTCACTCATAAGTAGTTTTTAAACATAAAGCAAAGAAAACCAGCCCACAAATCACAATCCCAGAGAACCTAGACAACAATGAGGACCCTAAGAGAGGCATACATGGCAAGTAGAAAGTAGAAAAAGACAAGATTTCCCAAGTAAATTGGGAGTAAAATGGGGACCTTGGGGGAGGGTTAAAGGGGAGGGGAGAGGCAGGGAGGGGAGCAGAGAAAAATGTAGAGCTTAATAAAAAATCAAAAACAGGGGGCTGGAGAGATGGCTCAGAGGTTAAGAGCATTGCCTGCTCTACCAAAGGTCCTGAGTTCAATTCCCAGCAACCACATGGTGGCTCGCAACCATCTGTAATGGGGTCTGGTGCCCTCTTCTGGCCTGCAGGCATAGACAAAGACAGAACATTGTATACATAATAAATATTTTTAAAAAATCAAAAAAAGAAAGAAGGAAGGAAAGGAAGAAAGGAAGGAAGGAAATGTCCAGAAAGTGCACAGCAAAGAGAGATGGTACAGTGGGGGCTGGTGTCCCATCATAGGGACACTAAAAAGAGACTCAGGTGGAGGGCCTGTGTCCCATCATAGGGACACTAAATAAAGACTCAGTCAAGCCAGCAATTGATTTTAAAGAGTATTCCAAATCCCAAACCAAAAGATAGGAATTCCCAGATTGAGAGAAACCATTGTCACCCATCCCATGGCTAGAAACACCTCATTGTGTGAAATTCAAGACATGGGCAAGACAGAAGTCTGCAAGCTTCCAAGAAGAGTAGTAGGTCACAGTAAGGGGTAGGGATCAGAAGAACTCAGCTGGCTTGGGGACATCCCCGGCAACTGGAAGGAATAAAGCCCCCACCTCCAAAGCACAATTCTTTCCAGTCTAGAATCTCAAATCCAGAATTTAAAACTCGAACTATTGGTCAAGTGTGAGGGAGAATAGAAAGAATTTTCTGATCCATGCTGTCTGGACACAGACCTCACTCCAGAAGTAATTCACACTCTAGCTGGAACATGGGCTCTACCAAACAGGAAGTGGGAGGGCCCAGGAGACAGGCAGGGCCCCTGGATTCCACACATCTGTAGTCAACACTTCACTCCGCCGAACCCAGGGTCTCACTCATGCGAGGCATGACTAGCCGAGGTAACAGGTCTGCACCACCCAGTCTGGATTGCTCATAACACTCTTGTGCCTGAGAGGGTCTGGTCCACACCCGGCTGGTCAGCCTTGAGCTGATGAGGTTGCTGGGATTACAGAAGACTCACATGACAGTTCAAGTTTCTCCTGATCTGATGTCCTGAGGGTTGAAGGGCTAGCTTGTATTTAGAAGGGTCTCAGTCTGCTCAGTTACCATTTTTGGGGGAGTCTTTATTTTGTTTGAGATGAAGTCTGGCTAAGTAGAAGTCTAACACCAGGCTCACGGTGATCCATCCTCCTGCCCCAGCCTCTAGAGTGCACCGCCACTTCCTTGGCAGACTTGCAGATTCTAGTACCTGGTCTGCAAGAACCTGCCAGCTTATGCTGGCTCCCCCCCACATCACCTTCCCCCCACACACACACACATTACACACATTCTCACCTGGGCTCCAGCTGCTCCTTCACTCTGGCAATGGAGCGGATGTAGGGCGTGATCTGCTTAGTGATGGTGGTCAGGTAGGCATTCTCCTGCTTCAGCTGGAGAAGGTCATGGAGCTGGGCTGTGAAGCCAATGTCAAAGTGTTGGTTGTTGGTGTTAGACCCCCGCGCCTAAGTTTGGTACCATCTAGAGATCCCAACTGCCAATGACCTCTGTGATCAAAAGGAGCAGCTTATGGTGTGGAGACCCCACTCACTGGCTGCTACCCTCCAAAGCAGGTGTGAGAGCCAAGCCAAACGCTAGGGGAAAGAGAGCAGGTGATACGCATGCGCGGTTAGTGGCTGACCGGCTCCCTCCCCTCTCGAATGTGGATTAACGTTGAGCAGCCACTGCCGGGGACCTTCATAAATCTCCTGCTGGGTAGCTACTCGTTGGTAGGAGTCCTCCCAAATCTGAAAGAAGAGTGGCAATGCTGGTTGAGGTGGGGAGGAGGAATTTCACTGAGGGTGTTTCTGCTCCGGGAGCCGTACAGCCACACACATCACTCTGGTTCACATTTCTCCAGGCACAGAACCCACAGCATGAGGGTCTGGCAGAGCACCATGCCAGGCACTGTGCTGTCCCCTTCCTGCCTTGGAGTGGCCACGTGCCTTTGCAGGAAGCTAGGTAGAACTCTGGGGGAGGTTACCTCCTGGAAGATTGCTCTCATGCCTTCCATGGAGGCATACTCAGAAGCAATCTGTGTGTCCAGCAGCAGGGACCTGTGTAGGATGTCCCCCATGATCTCCGCCTTGATGAGTGAGTGGTGCTTGGTGAGGTCTCGGTGTAATTCCTGAACCTGGTCCTTCAGGTTCTGCACCTCAACCTGCAGACCCTGTTGCAGAAGTGGGGCATGGAACCCACCAGTGGAGCAGTGTCTTTCAAGTCCTCTCCTCTGCTCCCCCCCCAACAACTGGATCTTAGTGAGGAAGGGGTGGGACCTCACAACCCTGCTGAAGCCCAGCCCCCTCACCCGATAGGAATCCTCATAATGTCGGCAGTGCTCTGTGAAGGGTGTGTCCTCGCCCTCAGCCAAGAGCACCTTCGTGCTGATGGAACGGTGGGGTGAGGGTTTCTGGACAGGTGACCCTGGCATCTTTCCCACTGGGGAGAGACAGCTGGGTGTCTTCAGCACCTTGGGGCTTGAGCTCCCCGCCAACCTGTGGAGAGAGCCAGTCTGCATAGGGTAGCAGACCGGTCTTCCCTTCCCCTAACACCCTTGGCTGCTCAGGGAGCCACTGTCCCCTCAACCCAACTACAGGGTAGACTCCTGGAAGCTCTCAAGGGCCCCAGGCAAGGACAAGGTAAGAGCACCCACTTAATGAAGTGATTTCTGAAAGGATTCCCATCCAGGTTGGATCTGGGCACAACTAGGTATGGCTCACTCCCATGTCTCAGATCTGAACTAAGAAGTGGTCTCTCTTGGACCCACACGCCGATTTCACTACTTCTAACCCCTCCGAGGAGACGCTTGCTTTCAACCGAGTGGGGAAGTCTGATTCACAGTGACTCCGCACCCAGAGAGCGTCCTGCCCAGCCTGCTGGAGGACACTGTGGAGCTGAAGAGCGCCCAGTCTCTCCTCTCAGTTGTCTGGGGCTTCCTGCCCCAGCGTCCTCAAGGGCTTTCTTGTTTCTCCCTCCCTCTCAGACTCGTCGGACTTAGTAGGGAAGGGTGGTGCGGAGCCTTTTCGGTGATCCCTCCCGGCCACCCGGCCTCCTGGTTAGGGCTCACGTGTTGGCGACGCCCACGGTGGACACGGCTCTGCGGGGCCCCAGAAGCAGCAGCGGCTCCAGACAGCGCGCAAATTCTGCGCGGTGATCGCTGGCTATCTGGACCGGAGATTGGGTCATGAGCGGCTCTCCCCTGCCTCGGTGTCTCCGGGCCCAGACCCCCGACCCCAGACCCCCGACCCCAGGCCTGCGCACCTTGCTGCTCTGAGCCGGTCTTAGGCGATGCGGGCGCGTGACGACGCCTTGCAGCCTCTCCATCAGCTCCTGTCATGGGGGAAGAGCTCAGGACAAGGGTGGGGTGGGGTGGGGGTGTGACAGGAGGTGATAGCCAGGGCGGGAGAGAGAAATGGAGAATTCAAGGCTCTGGGGCTAGTCTGTCATTTCATCTGTCTCTCTTTTGGTGCTTCAACCCTCCTCTAGGACTGGTCCATACACAGGCACCGCCCACATCCTTAAGAAGGGAGGTGTAGCTCCCGCAGACAAACACCGCAGTTTGGTGGGATGGAGGCTTGTGTGCGTTGCCCTTTTAAAAGGTATTCATTCACTTGAGCCCCAAAGAGCTTGTAATGGAGGGGAAGAGACGTCCAGAGGACCCCCCCCCCCCCCGTCATGCCTGCAGTGATGTGAGACAGGGACCCTATATGCAGGACGGACTCTAGGTGGGAAGAGAGGGTCCTGAAAGAGCTGGAGACACTCACATAACCCAGGTCCAGAAACTCAGCCTTGCTGGCCAAGCTGAGGAAGGATGAACAGATGACCAGGTGAACCTGAAGGAGGGTGCCATGCTCAGGGCTTGGACTATGGGCTGGGGTGTCCAGCCCTACACACCCTCAACCCTTACCTGTAGGGTGGGTAGCAAGGAGGCCAGGTGGGCAAGCTGTTCCTTGAAGGCTTTGTCCTTCTCTTCATATTGGCTGGGAGAAGGGCAGGCGAGGCTATTTGATCTCAGGGGAACAGATGCCTGCCCCACCTGCAGGATCTTCAACTCTGCAGCCCTGCCTTTTTGCTAGTGCTTCTGTGTGTGTGTGTGTGTGTGTGTGTGTGTGTGTGTGTGTGTGGTGTTTCTGTATTCACATGTGTGCCTGTTCCGTGTGTCAGATTGCATATGCACACATTTATGCATGCATGTACGTATGGAGGCCAGAGTTCTACATCAGGCGTCTTCCTCAATAACCCACCACCTTATTTTTTAAGACAGTCTCTTACTGAACTTGGAGGTCACCAGTTGGCTAGGCTGTGACCAGTGAGCCCCAGGGATCCTCTGTCTCTGCCTCCCCAGGGCTGAGATTATAGGCATGCCCACTGCATGTTTAAAGTGTGTGCTGGGGATGTGCTCTGGGTCCACGTGTTTCTGCGATAGGGCCTTTACTGACGGCCATCTCCTCAGTTCTGTTCTGTTTTGTTTTGATTGTTAAAGCAGAGTCTCCAGTAGCCCAGGCTAGCCTTGAACTCCTGACCCTCCCATCACTACCTTCCAAGAGCTACCCTTACAGGCACACACCACCACAGCTGCTTCTCTGTAGTTCCTTCTCTGTCAACACCCTGCCCACTTTTGATGGCAATCACCTGTGTGTCCTGTCCACCACATAAGGCAACCAAGGCTCAGGCTCAGAGCTGGGTATCTGGAGGTCAAGGGCAGGGGGACAAGGACTTCTCCATCACTCACCTCTGCACGGTCTGCAACAGCAGAGCTTTCCTCTCGGCCAGCCTGTCCTGGGAGAGATAGCCTATCACTGACCTGCACACCTGGCTTTGTCATCTCCTACCATAACGCCTTGGGGCATGGGCACCTGAACCTTAAGTGTCACCCTTTGTACACGCGTCCTCGACCCTGCCACCAACCTAACTCCAGACTAGGCTAGCCTCTGGCAACTCTCCAGGCAACTGTGATTAACTCAATTTGAGGGAACACCTGGCCCTACACTGTACACTCCGGGAAGGTACTTGGGAAATTACTGACCCCACCTCTCACCTGCATGCTGCCAAAGAGGGCGTGGATGGCCGCCTCCTCCTCAGTTGCGCTGTGCCTCACCTCCTCCACCATGGCCTGTAGCAGCGCGATGGCCTCCTTCGTGGCTGTCTGCAGAGCTTTCACTGCCTGGGGACAGCAGGGTCTCAGTCCCATTCTCCCAGGATCTCCCAGCTCCCACCCCCACCCTGCTTCAGCTCCCTGGTTGCCCCTCTCACCAGCACTGCCTGTTCCAGCCTCTCGCAACCTTGCACGTATGCTGACTCCAGGTCCACACAGTGGGCCCGGCTCTCCCTGCCGAGAGGCAGCTAATAAGACCCGCTCCACCCACGCCCCGCCCACTCCCTGCGTGCTCCCACTACCCACCCCTGCATGTCCCGAAAGCAGCGGATGCATAGCAGCGACTTCTTGTCAGTGGAAAACATGATGTAGGGCTCCGAATGGAGCGCTGCGGAGAGGGCGGGGGCGGTGATGAGAGCCCCTGAGACATGACCACCTGGTTCCCACCCCTGGCCGGGGTGTGCCTCACTCACGACACTTCTGGATCACATCGCGGGGGCGCTGGCCCAGGGCTACAATGTCATGCCTTGCGAACATGCGCGCGCGGTGTGTTTCTTCGCGGCAGCGTGCACACAGCGGCTGCCCGCAGGTGTTGCAGAAATAAGTGGTCTCTGCGTCCTGGGGACCGAGAGCTGGCTCAGGCCGCCTGCTCCTCGGGCCAGAGTTCTTGGACTCAGCTGAACCACAGCCACCGTGTGTCATTGCCAAGGGGCTCGGCTAAACTCCTTCCAGCAGTCCCCAGCAGCTGAACTCTCTAACATTTAAAAATTATATGCATTGATTCACTTGTTTATGGGGGTGAGTGCCCAAGTGCCATGCCATGAGAATGGAAGTTGGTTCCCTTCTTCCACCTTGTGCGTTCTGGAAATCAAACTGATGTCTTGCAGGCGTGGCAGCAAGGGCTCTCCAGTGCTGCGCCACCTCCCTGCCCCTCTTCACTGAACCCTTATACACCCAAGTTAAGATGAGGACATTGGGTCTGGACAGACAGCTCAGCAGTTAAGAGCACTGGCTGCTCTTCCAGAGGACTGGGGTTCAATTCCGGGCGCTCACAACCGTCTGTAACTCCAGTCCCAGAAGAGCCGAAGCCCTCTGCTGGCGTCTGAGGACACAAAGCACCCACTTGGTGCACAGATATACAGTAAGGCAAAACACACATACACATAAAAAGATGAAGACACCAAGTGGGTGTAGGAAGGGCAGAACACTGGGCAGAGCCTTGGAAACGTAGTTCCCAGAGACGGAAGGCAGAAACTGCATGGTAAAGCCTATCAGGCCCCTGTGACACTCTCAGTAGTTACCACACGGTGGTGTGCATCCTGGCCAGGTCCTGACCATCGGCCTCACAGGCAGCCTCACCGCACATCTTCCTTCCCCAGCCTGGCAGACTAGGCTAAATCATAGGTCCTGGGCTATGTCAATCATCCCGGCTCCTACAAGCCCCTCCTCCCCAACAGGAACCAACTGTGTACAGGGCTGGCACGAGTCCCAGGGGGTGTGGGAGCCAGGGACAGTGGGAGAAGGCAGGAGGAGAAGAGACTATTCATGACCACACTGACCATCCAGGTGTCCTTGGCCTCCTGAAGTGACAACTCAGAGGGTAGGGGCGTGTATAAGGACTCCGGGGGCAGTCCCAGGGCTGGGGGTACAGCCCAGGGCAGTGACTAGAACTTTGATCTGGCAAACCTTACTTCTTTTTTTTTAAAAAATTAGCTTTATTTGATGTGTTTTGGCGTTTTTCCTGCATGTATGTCTGCATGAGGGTGTCAGATCCCCTGGAACTGGAGTTACAGACAGTTGTGAGCTGCTATGTAGGTGCTGGGAATTGAACCTGGGTCCTCTGGGAGAACAGCCAGTGCTCTTAACCACTAAGCCATCTCTCTGGCCCTGAAAGCCTCTTACTCTTTTTATTACTCTTTTTATTTTTAAAATATTTCATTTATTTATTTATTATACAGTTCTATCTGCATGTCTGCCTGCAGGTCAGAAGAGGGCACCAGATCCCATTACAGAGCCCATGTGATTGCTGGGAATTGAACTCAGGACCTCTTAAACTCTGAGCCATTTCTCCAGTCCAGCCTCTTAGTCTTTACACCGACAGTCAAGGCCATTTCTTCAGAGTGCCCCCCTCCCCTCCAACCTGTTGTCTTTAGTTCTGGGCAATGGTTTCTCAGCTCTGGCTTAGCACACTGGTTTGAGACTGTGTGCCCCTGAGCTTCCTTCCTGTCATAGGGTCATCAACTCTACTTGCCTTTGCATCGGGGCTGGAAACCTTCCTTGCCTTCAGCTCCCGCTCTCTCTCCAGCTATTTACAGATGCACACCATGTGAGCTTTAGCCACTTACATGTGCTTAAGTAGCAGGGGGTCCTAAGGGTCCCCCAGGCCTGTCAACCGAACCACAGCTCCCATGACAGCTCACAACTCCACCCTGACCTGGGAACCCTGAAGTTAGCTCTCCCTAAATTGAATGGCCTCAGCCTCTGCCACTATCTGGTTATTGGCTCAAGTCATTTTTTTCTGGACCTTGGTCTCCCGACCCGTATGTATGATGGGGACGCGGTTGGAGTCCGAGGGATCTCAGGGAGGGGCTGGAGACTTCACTGATGGACCAGGGTTGTGCATCTGGGCATGCTGTAAGCATTGGGGACCATGCCATCTGGCACCCACTGCCCTCTACTTCCTCACCTGCTTGCTGCATTCCAGGTCGCAGTTGGCACAATGCACAGCCTCCACACCGTCTCCAGAGCTATCCACCAGGAACTGCAGCAGCCGGTCCACTGGCGGGAGCCCACTGGGACCCTTCACCAGGGTCTGGTGCCTGCAGAGAGGCTGCAGCCAAGATCTGGACGCCCTTGTAGGAAGCCGTCCCCACTACCCTTCACATTCCAGGCCAGAGCTAAAAATAGCAGTGTCAGGGTGGTGGGGTCTGCTATAAATACAGCAGCCAACTTGTCCTGAGGTCCCCACCCTACCCAGTGTGTGTGTAAGCCTGACGTCATACTGCAATGGGAAAGGCCATGTCACCCGAGTGGACCCTAGCACTTCACTGGAACATTTTGAGCTAATTTAGCAATGGTGTTAACCTAAGATTTCTGGGACACGCCCCCACATCAGGGGCGGCTGTCTTCTCCAGCCCTACCTTAGCACCCTGACTCTGGGAAGCTGGTGGCAATGATCTTCTGCCTTTGTTAACCTGACTAAGCTACAGGGGGGTTGGGGTGGTTCCAGTAAGTTCGTTTATGACAGTGGATTGTTCCCACGTCTTCAGCCTGAGCTTGGAACCTCATCATCTGCACTTGGCCTCTCAATCAGAACGAGAGCCAGCTTCACCCTCTCTGGGCTTGGGACACTTACTGGCACAGCGGACAGGACAGGCGGCCATCAGTAGCCCGTCCGCGCAGGCAGCCAGCGCAGAAGTCGTGGAAGCAGTCCAGCAGGCACGGGCGCTCATACTGTGCATGGCACAGCGGACACACGAGGGGATGGCCACTCGCAGCATCCAAGGTACCCAGGCCCTCCAGAGGCGCAAAAATTGCTCCAGACATTTGCGTGGATGAACAGTTCAGGACAATGACTGGGATTCCTGGGGCCCAGACCACCTCCCTCCTACCTAGCCCTCCTAGACAAGACTTAGCAAGTAGCTTTGGGATGCTGGAATGCCGGAATGCCGGTAGCGCCCCAGCAGGGCGGGGTTGGGGCGGACTGTTGGAGAGGGGCCCTGCCACCGCTCACTCACCTCTCTCACAGTCCTTCTGCTGTGGCTCTGCCGGGGAGTGGTTGGCCCTAGAAGGTCAGGTCGGCAGGCTGAACGGTGCCTCCTCCCCTCTATCACTTCTCCCACCTTCTCTCCCTCCCACCGTTTGCAATTCTCCGCCCCACGTCCTCTGGGTGACCGCGACTAAGGTCCCTTAGTGCTCCTTCCTCAAGGTGTTGCTGCTTTGCTGAGCCTGGTCCGCAGTCTCGCCGCTTGACCCAGTGTCCAGAAAGCCCCGAAGAACACGCTCTGAGGGTCCCAGACGCCACTAGACCTCGCCTTGAGTTTGGAGCACAGACCAAAGGTAGCCGACACCGGGCTCCCGGATCTTCAGTTAGAGGGACGCGGCCTCCCGGGCTAAACTGGAACTCTCTGACTCCGGACCAGAGAGGGAACAGTGGGTCTTCATAGCCCCATTTCCCCCATGGCCAGCTGGGGGCTCCAGAGAGCAGCAGACGGTCCACAACATACTTAGGTTCAGATGAGGGTGCGCTTTGGGGTCCTAGGCCTTCCTTAGTGGGTTGTGGTACTCAGGCGAGTTACTGACTTCCCTGACTTGATCTCCGCATGATAGGTTAAGACTTGCATGGATCAATGCTTGTGAAAAGCCCCATGTTCAAAGAGGGGTGGGTTTGGGTGGGAGGTTGAGACCAAAGCTGTGGCTGGGTTTTAAAAGATAAACCAGAGGGGCTGGAGAGATGGCTCAGAGGTTAAGAGCATTGCCTGCTCTTCCGAAGGTCCTGAGTTCAAGTCCCAGCAACCACATGGTGGCTCACAACCATCTGTAATGAGGTCTGGTGCCCTCTTCTGGCCTGCAGACATACACACAGACAGAATATTGTGTACATAAGAAAAAAAAAAGATAAACTGGAGTTTGCCAGAAGGCAGCAAATTCTATGTATAATTACCTGTTCTCCTTTCTGAAAAATTTATATTATGTTATTCATGCGTGTGTGTGTGTGTGTGTGTGTGTGTGTGTGTGTAGAGATGACAGGGCAGCTTGAAGAAGTCAGTTCTCTCATCCTTTTGGTTTTGGGATTGAACTTGGGTCATCAGGCCTGGCAGCAAGTGCCTTTGGAGGTTCTTCCATGCCCATCATTTCTTTTGAAGTAGATTGGTGCTGCCAGGAACAGATGTGTCTCACTGCCATGAAAATCTTTGTTATTAAAACATTTTAAATTCCATATTCTGAAGATCTCTGAAGTGTTTGAAGATCATCTATCTATTTAAAATATATCTCTAGGGCTGGAGAGATGGCTCAGAGGTTAAGAGCATTGCCTGCTCTTCCAAAGGTCCTGAGTTCAATTCCCAGCAACCACATGGTGGCTCACAACCATCTGTAATGGGGTCTGGTGCCCTCTTCTGGCCTGAAGGCATACACACAGACAGGATATTGTATACATAATAAATAAATAAATAAATAAATAAATAAATAAAAAATATATCTCTAACCTTGAAAACATACCTAACATGACTATAAGTTTGATTGTTATAGATGACTAACTATTAACCTGTCTTCCTTTATTATCCTAATAGCTTTCAAGGACTAGAACTTTACATTTCATTTTTTAAAATATTTATTTATTCATTAGTATACAATATTCTGTCTGTGTTATGCCTGCAGGCCAGAAGAGGGCACCAGACCCCATTACAGATGGTTGTGAGCCACCATGTGGTTGCTGAGAATTGAACTCAGGACCTTCGGAAGAGCAGGCAATGCTCTTAACCAGCAACCACATGGTGGCTCACAACCATCTGTAATGAGATCTGGTGCCCTCCTCTGGCGTACGGGCATACATGGAGGCAGAAAGTTGTATACATAATAAATAAATCTAAAAAAAAAGATTTATTTATTTATTTATTATTATTATTACTTATTATTATTCTAGAACAGTCAGAGCTACACAGAGAAACCCTGTCTTGAAAAACAACAACAACAACAATACTGGCTCTTACGGAGGACTTGGGTTGGATTCCTGGCACCACAAGGTGGCTCACAAGTGTTCATAACTCCAGTTCCACAGGTGTTACCTCTTCTGGCTCCAGCCAGACACATGGTGCATAGACACACATGCAGGCAAAACACCCATAGATAAAATAACCCCCCCCCCCACACACACACAAAGTTGAATTGGATTTACGGTTCCCGATGGTTAAGTCCATGATGAGAGCAAGGCACTGACAACAGGGAATGCACGTCTCGGACCACAGGCAGAGCAGATAACGTCCTCATCCTCTGAAACATCACCCCTCAGGTGACGTATTTCCCCTGATCCTCCTCAAACATCTGCCAGCCGGGGACCAAGCATCCAAATGCCTGGGACTTATGGGGACGTCTTCAGACCAGCACAGTGACATGAGATGCGGCCACAGAAAGAAGTCATAAATAATGGGTTGCTTGGCTGCTCTTGCTTCTTCCCCACCTAAAAAGAGAGTGTCTCTTTTGTCAAATAACTAGATGCTTTCTTTCCTGGTTTGTTCCCGTGGAAGCTACTGATTAAGATGTGCAAGGTGTGTCCCTTGAGTTTACTGGGCCAAGCAAGGCTCCAAAGCCTGGCATCCTCTGCTGTTACCCCAAAAATACAAACCCTGTGGAGGAAGTGAAGGACACTCAACTCTTCCTCAGCAGTCAAATAACCAGTGATAAACTCTGGGTTAGAGTGGATGAGTCAGCTGACCAGGTCTGTGACACTGGCCATATCCTGACTACACCAGCTACAGAAAGGCACGCTCTAAACTGGTGTGGGGGCACTCAGAATGCAGAAGCAGGTGGATCTCTGAGCTTGAGGCCAACCTGGTCTACACAGTGAGTTCCAGGATAGCCAGGACTACATAGACTCTGTCATCAAAACACAAAAACAAGAACAAGTGTGCTCTGGGGCTGGAGAGATGGCCCAGAGGATAAGAGCACTGGCTGTTCTTCCTGAGGTCCTGAGTTCAATTCCCAGCAACCACATGGTGGCTCACAACCATCTGTAATGAGATCTGGTGCCCTCTTCTGGTGGGCAGGCAGAACACTATATAAAATAAATAAATCTTTTTTGTTTTTGTTTTTCGAGACAGGGTTTCTCTGTAGTTTTGCAGTCTGTCCTGGAACTCGCTCTGTAGACCAGGCTGCCCTTTAATTCACAGAGATCTGCTGGCCTCCTGAGCACTGGAATTAAAGCCATGCACCAACACCACCCAGTAAATAAATAAATCTTTTTTTTTTTTTTTTTAGTTTTTTCGAGACAGGGTTTCTGTGTGGTTTTGGAGCCTGTCCTGGAACTAGCTCTTGTAGACCAGGCTGGTCTCGAACTCACAAAGATCCGCTTGCCTCTGCCTCCCAAGTGCTGGGATTAAAGGCGTGCGCCACCACCGCCCGGCTTTTTTTTTTTAATATTTTTTTATTTATTTGTTATGTATACAATATTCTGTCTGTGTGTATGTCTGCAGGTCAGAAGAGGGCACCAGACCTCATTACAGAGCCACCATGTGGTTGCCGGGAATTGAACTCAGGACCTTTGGAAGAGCAGGCAATGCTCTTAACCTCTGAGCCATCTCTCCAGCCCCCATAAATTTTTTTTAAATATTTATTTATTTGTTATGTATACAATATTCTGTCTGTGTGTATGCCTGCAGGCCAGAAGAGGGCACCAGACCCCATTACAGATGGTTGTGAGCCATCATGTGGTTGCTGGGAATTGAACTCAGGATCTTTGGAAGAGCAGGCAATGCTCTTAACCTCTGAGCCATTTCTCCAGCCCTAAATAAATCTTTTTAAAAAGGAAACAGTATACCTAAATCCTGATGCAGGAAGTTACCTCTTTACCCTTTACAGTTTTTTTCTTTATTTATTTGTGTGTGTGTGTGTGTGTGTGTGTGTGTGTAGTATAGCTGTGTGTGTAACACAGGTGTAACAACCCATGTGGGCGCATGAGAAGCCAGAGGCTGACGGGCTGTCTTCCTTTCCCTCTCAAGCTCATTTGTGACAGTGTAGACAGAAGTTTCTATTTCACCGGGGCCTGAAGCTGTCCAGTCCCAAAGAAACACACAGAGACTTATATTAATTATAAACTGCTTGGCTTATTAGTTCAGGCTTATTATTAACTAGCTCTTAACAACTAAAATTAACCCATAATTCTTGTCTATGTTTAGCCACGTGGCTTGGTACTTTTTATGAGTAAGGCATTCTCATCTGGCTTCCTCTGCATTTGGGTGGTGACTGCAGACCGAGCCTTTTCTCTTCCCAGAATTCCCCTAGTCTGGATGCCTCACCTATACTTCCTGCCTGGCTACTGGCCAATCAGCATTCCATTAAATCAATACACGTGGCAAATCTTTACCGGGTACAAGAGCATGATCCCACAGCAAGACAGAGTCTCTCACAGAACCTGAAGCTGGCCATTTCAGGCACATGGGTTAGTCACTGAACTCGCAGGGTCTGCCTCTGACCCCAACACTGGAGTCAGCTCACAAGTGGACATTACATCTCCTGGCTTTCTTTACATGAGTGCCAGGGACCCAAACTCAGGTCCTCATGAGTATATGGATCCATTCTGTCTCAGTTAGGGTTTTGTTTTTTTTTGTTTTTTTGTTTTTTTTGAGACAGGGTTTCTTTGTAGCTTTGGAGTCTGTCCTGGAACTCATTCTGTAGACCAGGCTGATCTTGAAGTCACAGATCTGCCTGCCTCTGCCTCCCAAGTGCTGGGGTTTAAAAGCGAGCACCACCACTGCCTGGCACAGCAGCTCTTACAAGGAAAACATTTAATTGGGGTGGCTCACTTACAGTTTGCAGAGGTTTAGTCCATT